ATACTACATCGTCCTACGTTTGACCTGACCAAGGTCTATCCCCCGCTGTTGCTTGCAGTCTTCCTGATCGGACAGGCATACTCTTCCGAGCTTGATGTTTCACAGGCGCAAGCTCACTATGACCTCGCCGAAGCGTATGCCTTCAGCCACCCAAAATTCAAACAGCTCCTGCAAGACAATTTGCCACTCTCGTCGGCGCCGTCTACATCATTAGAGCCAATTCAAGCCGCATACTTGATGGTGTTGGTTCAGATGTGTGGTAAAAGCTCGCTTTCCCGAAGACGCGTGAGGAGGTCTCGATACAATGATGTCATCCAAGCCGCTCGCAGCCTGAGGCTCTTCGACAGCAAGAATGAATTCTTGGACCTTGAGCAAAGGGATTGTGTTGATTTCGACTGGCACGGATTTGTGGCAAAGGAGTCGAGGATCAGGTGAGTGGGCGCCATCAACACTTTCTGTCGATTTTCTCACGGTCTATCTAGGCTCGCGTATCTCATTTTCGGCATCGAATGCAACTTTGCCATGTTCCACGAGCACTATCCAAGACTCGCCGTCTCGGAAATGACCGGTGATCCGATGTGCAGTGAAAGCTGCTTTTCGGCTCCCAGCAGAGCATCCTGTGAGCAATACGCAAAGAAGGAAATGAGATCCAATACGCTGGCAATCTCGACGTGTGTGCTTCAACTCCTAGAGAGCCAAGTCAACATATCAATACAGTCGAGCCTGGCTGGGCTGTCACCAATGAATTTCTTCTTTGTTCTGTGCGGTAAGCATACCCCTCTCCCATTAGATTTCAAAGGCTGACACGTTCGACTAGGTCTGCACTGCGCCATCCATGCTTCGCGTGCAAACGGTACGGGGAAGATCCTGTATCCGGCGATGACGAGGGCTCTGAACCGTTGGATCAGAATATGGGAATCGCAGATGCGCAACTTCCCCCTCGAAGAGCGGAAGAAGATTGGGTTCATGAGAGACGCCGGCCCAGAATTCTGGCAGCTCGCATGCATCTTCGTCGAAGCTGAGAACCGTGGGCTCCTCAATACAGAGCTCCTGCGCAGCATGGACGTGGACAGGATGGAGAACGTTTGTCATCTGTTGGAGGCATTCCGTCAAACAGCCTAGGGCCCCACGGAGGATATCGCCGCAGAATCAATAGTGATGGGCCCGGCCAAACATGATATGTATCGATATCCTTGTAAAGCGTATCATCCACCACAAAAAAGTATGCATCGGCTTGAGTTGGCCAGTGTCTTTTTCGACGGGCATTACTGTTCCCCGGACTGCGGCGTCCAAAAGAAATGCCTGCTACCATCATCCAGTCCATCTTGCGCGGTCCATAGCTAGCTTTTGGGGGGGGCTGGTGCTCAATTCAGATTGCCGATCGGTCCTTCCATTCCCCACGGGGTAAGTACCAGTCTGGCGGTGAAAGCCCCATTCAACGTATGGGGGGGGGGTGGAGAAATCAGAACCTGATGTCAGGGGCACCACGCAACCCACACTTATATCCCGAATGTGGGCTTTTCCCGCATTCACCCTCATCTTTCTTGCCAACTCGAGCTTGAACGCATGCACATGCAAATTCCAGGTATGCTTGATTATTGCGTAACAGCTTTGTGAGATACTTGAGCCAAGCCTCCCCGTGCCCCGATCTCCCATACAACCCGTGATATTGACGTACGACCAAAGCACAGCTCCGGATCTCTCTGCAACCAGTTGGTCGCTCTTTCGAGTCCTATCTCTACAAAGAACGGACACTCTCGACGATGAATCTTCTGGCTTACGGAGAAGACAACAGGGGGACCACTTCAAGCCCCGGGAACGCCAAAAGATCGGCGTAATGGCATGAGAATGTGGCTTCGAATTTTACGAAGCTGCTTGTCAGAGAGTTCAGCCTGGTCACTGGTTTGCTTCACCCTCGATATGCCAGAGCACTTGTCGGCAACAGATTTTCGACCGTGGATGTCAAGACACGTTGTCTATTGCAGAATGGACAATCTAGACTGCGCCACGGGCTCTGGGTTTACGGCCCCAGAACCACACCAGCTCGCTTCATCGTGGTGACGCCCCAGGGTATGTTTGTCCTCATGCCGCCTCCGCAAAGTTTGTTGAGCCTACTTTGAGGAGCGTCCTGCTTGGGCACCTTTGTTGCTCGACAAAGAAGGGACGAGTCCGTCTGTCCGTGTTGGTCTGCCCTGTTCATCGTGGGGTCCGTATTCTCTCAAATCCTGCAAGGGCATTCATGGGCTGGAGCTTATCCGAGCCTCAAGCCAGCCACATGGGATTTTCTGCATCCTTCCTCACAGCATTTTGCGGAGGGGCTGTGGGGCAAAGGAGCAAGTGTCGAGGCCAATAGAACATGAGAAGGATACCAAAAGATGTATAAGTTCCTTCCTGTCCAAAGAGACTGCCTGGCGTTGATGTATTCCTTGTTTCAAGGCTGCTCTTGACTTTTGGACAGTTTTGGCCTCTTAGGACACTAATAGGCAGATACCGAAGAAAGAGTAGGGCACAGAGCCTGAGACTGCGACAAGTGATTCGACATGATGACCGAGCATACACACGTTCAACATAGCGAGCATGTGGAATGCCCTCACGCCATGGGCACGGACGAGGTGCCGCTCGATCTCGACGACCCTCACTGCGCGGCGCTAGAGGACAATCCAGCACATGCAGGACGACCGCCCTTGAAAACTCTTCTTGCTGTCGTGGTGCGTGGAAGCTGCTCCTCCTCCCCGAACCAACTGACTCTTGCGTCAACAGTTTTTGGCTCTCTCATATGTGTGCCCTATTTCTTGCGGATTCTTCCTCATCTCCGCAATCCTTATCCCTGTGGGCACCGAACTCCATGATACCGAAAACGTTGCTTGGGTCGTATCGGGCTGGTCGATTGCCTCTTCGGTCTCTTTCTCCATGGCTGGCAAATTGAGCGACATCTTCGGTCGCCGTTGGACTATTCTCGTCGGTGAGGTCATTTGTCTCGTGGGCTGCGTGAGTCTCTGCCCTCCCCTGCTTTGGATGCTCGACGAAGAAGCAGATTTCTGACTCGGACTAGATCGTCGCCTGCACGGCGCACCGGACCCTCATCCTTGCAGCCGGCTCAACCATTGTGGGATTTGGTTGCGGCATTGTGTTTGTGTCATATGCTGGCATTGTGGAGTTGTTGCCCAACAAATGGCGGTAGGGGCTTTCGAAAGTCAGGCTTCCGCTCGAAAAGATCACTAACGGATCCAGCGGTTTTGGGATCGGACTGACCGAGGTCTGTATTTGCGTCCCTTGGTGCGCAACCAGCGTCCTCATCGCGAATGGTCTCAACTCGCATACCGCGGCCGGGTGGCGCTGGTGCTACTACATAGGCATCATCTACGGCACAATCAGCCTTCTGGGCACATTCGCCTTCTACTATCCTCCGGAGCGCCCGCAGCACGACTTCGAAAAGTCCCGATGGCAAGAGGTGCGCGAGATTGATTTCGTCGGCTGCATACTGTACACCGGAGGCCTCACTACCTTTCTTGTCGGCATCAGCTGGGCAGGCAGCTCAACTCACCCCTGGAAGTCCGTCTCCACCATTACGCCAATTGTGGTGGGCTTTTTGGTCCTCGTCCTCTGCTTTGTATACGATTTCACTCTGGCCAAGGCACCGTTCTTCCCTCTGCCTCTGTTGCGGAAGCTTAGCGAATTCACCGTCCTGCTGGTTCTGGTTTTTGTTGCCGGTATGGTCTTTTACTCCATGTCGGCTCTGCTTCCACAGGGATCACTTTATATGTTCACCAATGACCCCACCGAGATTGGCATAATTGCACTACCAAGCGGAATCGCCGAGACGCTTTTCGGTGCCTTTGCCACGTTGTTCATGGGGCATATTGGTCATCTGAAGGTGCAGGTCATCGTCCTGTTGTCGATCCAGACCGTCGCTACGGGATGTTACGCGACGGTTATTCCGTACAACAGATCCGGATGGATGGCTCTCCAATTCTTCGGCATGGGGGCCTTCCAGCTGACGACTTCGATTGCCTATGTGATCGCGGGGCTCAACGTCCCTCTGCGTCATCTAGGGCTGGCTTCCGGGCTGATTGGCACATTTCGAAGTGCTGGGGGAAGCGTTGGCAATGCGGTCTTCAGCACGATCCTCAACTCTGTTGTCAATGAGCAACTCCCGAAACGTATCGCCGCGGCCGCCTTGTCGCGAGGCTATGGCCCGGAAAACCTGGCTCTGCTGATACCCGCCACCGTCAACAACGCACTTGGTGTGCCAGATGCTTTCCACGGGGTGCCGGACATGGACCTGGTCTTGCAAGTGGCCGTCGGAAACGCGTTTCGCGAAGCATATGCTGCTGGGTTCCGGCGTGTATTCTGGGCCACCATCCCATTCGGTGTCATCGCCGTGATATGCGCATTCTTCATCGAGGATCCGTCGAGGTATTTGACCAACCACACCGCCGTTCACATGCAGGGCGATGAAGGGGGGAAACGGATCGCGGCACAGCCTCCAAGATACGAGGTCACTTCAGACAAGGAAATCGCAAGAGGCGAGGAGATGGAATGCGCGTCACAGCGCGGGACTGATACCGGCGTTAACAGAGACAATGACCGGCATGCTGATACTTGAAGGTTATAGCTGGGCAAGGACCGCCGACGCTGCGGAAGGAGACGCAGAGGCCTCAATGGAACGTTGGCAATAGTACATAGTTGCTCCAAGATATCCCTTGTCTTAGGGTTCATATTTTGACCAAACGAACTCACATATACATCACCAAAGTAGCAAATGGTTTGTGGCATATTATTCTTTTTCGTTCTCGACACTCGCTGTGTGACTCGGTGACTCGGTGTATTAACTCGCCAGACGAGGCTAAAAAAGAGGGTCACTAGGCACAAGGCCCACTCACCGTTACCCAGGGCACCCCGTATTCCTCGGCCTTTTCAGGCTCGTTCCCATTCAGTCTTTTGCTTTTGACTAGTTATAGGTACATAAGACTTGCTAGAATCCTGCCAGGCGCGAAGACATGGAACTGGCGGGTCCCGAGCCAGAAGTCCAGTCCGCTGAAGAGGGAGAAGTCCCTGTGGTACGATCGGACCCATACCTCGCCGACTTCATCCAGCTCGGGCCCCAGATCTACATCTACACGCCCGAGGCACGCTCGACACCAGAGATCGACAACACCGTTGGGTCCCCAAGAAAGGAACAGCAGCAGCAGCAGCAAGAGCAAGAGCAACCAGCACCGGCAGATCCGGACCTGGTAATTGTCTGCTCGTGGATGTACGCCCAGCCGCGGAACATCGTTAAGTACACCAAGGTATACCAGGCGACGTATCCTCGGGCGCGGATCCTGCTCCTACGACAAGATGGGGGCGACTTCTTCTTCCGCACGCAGGCCCAGCAGATGCGGAACCTGGTGCCCGCGGTGTCTCTGATCCGGGAGCTCGACTCGGAAAAAAAGGAGGAGGGGAGTGGCAGGGAGTTGAAGGTCCTGCTGCACATCTTCTCCAACGGCGGCGCATGGACGGCGTGCCAACTCGCAGACGCCTACCACCACCAGCAGCGAGGCCTGGCACCCACGCCCCTGGACGAAGCGGACCACGCATTCCTCCTCCTCCCCATCACAGCCCTAGTCCTCGACAGCACGCCCTCGCTCCCCAACGCCGTGGCCTCGCACACCGCCATCTGTGAGGCGCTGCCCAAGTCGCCGCGGCCGCTGCGTGCGCTCGGCAGCGTCCTGGTCTGGGGGTACCTAGGCCTGGCGCAGGCTGTCGGGGTGGCGACGGGGCAGGAGAACGTGACGCTGTCGCTGCGCCGGCGCCTGAACGACCCGCGCGGCGCCTTCGCCCGTCACGGCCACGGCCACGGCCCCCCGCCGCCGCGTGTGTACATCTACAGCCAGGCCGACGCGCTGATCCCCGCGGCCGACGTGGAGCGGCACGCGCACGAAGCCGCGCAGGTTCTCGGCCGCGAGAACGTGCGCCTCGAGGACTTCGTCGCCAGCCGCCACGTCGGCCACGTCCTGGCCGATCCAGCCCGGTACTGGGCGATCATCGGCGCGTTGTGGAGGGAGAGTGCCTCGCGGGCATTGGGGCCCAATCTGTCTGGTCCGGGAGAGGGACCGGCAACGGAGTAAGGGGAGTTGGGTGTGTGATGATGATGCAGCCTTGAGGAGCGTTACAAGATTCGCCTGGAAACTACACAATTGGACATAGACACACATTTAAATGGAGGAAGATCTAGAGGCCCAAATATGGTTAGAATTGTTGCTCTATCGAATCTGTTGGTCATTTTGACTTTTTCGCCTTCTTCTGGCTATGGGGGGTATTTGGATGATTCCAACAGCGCCAATATCATGTCTCCCTATCACGTCTCGTTGCTCATGCTGATGCCGTGTCCCGTTTGCAAGGCCACTACGACTCGATCGTAACTGGCTTCGGTGCAACTGACTTCCGCCTCGCGATCGTAAGTCGTTCCAATCAGCCCCTGACTTCGTTATCCTTCCATGCATCCGAAGCACCACACTAGAGGCTATGCCTCTGCCTCTAGGCCGTGACCGTCGCTCCACGCCACAACAAGATGGGAGGAGGAGATCCGCCGCATCAATATTGCACTGGCATGTCCATCCTGTCCATCCGCTGTGGTCTCCTAAACCCCTTCCATCTGCACATTCCTCACCATACCTGCAAATTCTCTCTTCACAAACTCAACGTAGCCTTTCCATGAGATCAACTCTCCCACGATACCTTCTACAGTCGCATTCGGAAACTTCCTGTCCAGTTCCAGAGTGATCCGGACCACCGCGGCATTTGCTTCATTCACTTTCTCAATTTCCTGCTTGACGGCATTCTCCTTCAATTTCGCACCCAAAACCACCCGGAATTTCTCAGCGAGCGTGGGCAAGCGGCGTCGTGTTCGGTCAGGATCAATCGCCGACAGGCGAGTCAGCATGAGGATGCACAAGGTGCGGATGTCGTGGTCATCAGGAATTCCATCCAGGATGCGGTCAAAGAGTCTGGAGATGGGTAGCTGCGGGATCGCGCCAGGGCAATCTAGGAGGGCGTACATGGTCGCATACGCGGACTTCCGAAGGTCCAGACCTGCATCTTCAGTGTGAGTAAAGGGGCCAATCTTGACCTGCTTCACAAGTTCGGGCTTGATCTTCGAGTCCTCCAAGACCTTTGGGAGAAGCTGGCTGACATCCGGAATCACGAGTTCCGGTTTGTTGTGGATTGCGGCATTGAGAGTGGTCACTGCCAGACGTCGGTTAGACAGGTCGCTATCATTCAGCATCATCTGAAGCATGGGCGTCATTGTCTTGACGAGAATGTTGTTGTAGGAGTTGCTGGCTTCGCCCAGGGTAAAACGGAAGGCGGAGATAACAGTGCCACGGACCGATGGGTTTGGGTCTGCCAGTGCTTTGGAGAGCTCGGGGATATATGTGTTGGGGTCAATCGTGGCTAATCGACCAATGCATTCGGCTCCAACCGCGCTATTGTCCTCTACCTGAGACACGGCGAAGAGCTTCTGCCACAACTCGGCTGCGTACGGAGCCATTTCTCCCAGCGTGCTCTCAGAGTGTTCCAGAATCTCCTTGACAGAGTGCAAGTAAAGGTAGTCAGAGGCTGATGTCTGTGTCAAGCTCTGGAGTATAACAGGCACGCATTCTGCAATGTTGTTGGAACTGGCACTGCCCAATGCAATGGCAGCAGAGAGTCGGACTTTGTCTGATTCGGCGGAGAGGCAGTTGATGAAGGTTTGAATCTTCACAGGTGAGTTCGGTCCCATTCTGAATCCGACCTCTCCCAGCACCGTCAGGGCCAAGCAAATGGCTCGCACATCTTGGGATGTTTCGAGTTCTTTCAGAAAATCGTCTATCGTAATATTCAGGTTGTCGCCTCCGTAAACGAGTAATGTGCCAATCGCTCTTCCCAGAACCATAGTCTCTCCGGCGGTCCCCACGCCGAGGAGACCTTTCATGAACAGTGCACCAACACCGTGTTCACCAATGACTTTCACGACGAGCAAATACGCTCGAAGCGGAGGCCCTTCGATGCGAGTTTGTGACACGCCACAAAGCGCTTCGACCAGCTCCGGGGTGACCAGTGCCTGAGCGTTGGTGGGGATGATTTTGGACATGATGACAAGTGCCGGGGTCAACAAGTGAAGGTCGTTGACAGAAATTAGAGGCATCAACATGCCTTGCAATTGCAGGATCGTGGTTGTCTCGTACAATGAGGATGTTACGGGGTTCAAGGCAAGGTATTGTAATGATTCCAAGCAGGAACCCCGGAGAGATCGATCGGCTTTGCGGAGTTGATTAGCCATCTCGAGTGAGACTTCTTGCACCCAAGCAGACCCGATTTCATCTTGACCGTTTACGGCTTCACCAACGCGACCAATTGCTCTCGCACTCGCGAGTCTGGTGGTTTCGTTCTTCAGCCTGTCGTTTAGGATTCCGAGGCTCCTAGCCCTGGCTGAACTTGACAGCAGTTGAGTTCCCGATGTTCTCGCCATAAGGACACCAAATACCTGGATAGCCCGATGCCGCACTTCCAGGTCAGTGTTATTGTCCGTGACGCGGTCGACTATTACTTCCCAGAGCTTCTCAATGTGTATGGCGTGATCTTGATTTGCGGTAGGCAGTCGAGGTGGAGTCAGAGCCTTGACGAACTGCTCAACCGTGGCAAGAGCTTCGGTTGAAACTTTGTAGTTTCTATCACGAGCAATTGCTGTGACCGGGGGTATAAGGGCGATGACGAAGGGGATCAGTACAGTGGTACCGTTAGTCTCCGCAATTGCACTGATCAATGTCAATGCCTCAATCTGAAGACTGGCAACAGTTGCCGAGGTGCCTGAGGCTGCACCGCTCGATCCTGAGCCAAATGACGGCTTCAAAGCGTCGGCGACGGGATCTTCGAGCTGCTGCAGGTGGTCCGACAGAATTCCATTTCTTGCCAAGGTCAAAGTCTTGAGCATGACAACCGCAGCCTGCTTGAGCGATATGCTTGCTTTCTTCCACAACTTTGCGAGCGCTTGAACAATCTTTGGCACCAAACTGACAAGCTCAGCCTGTGACCCCGTGGGCGGAGAGGCTGGGACGATAGGAGGACTCGACCGGATGGATATTAGACCTCGCAGATCCGGATCCTTCTTATCGGCTTCGCTGTCTTGTCGTCTTCGCTTGCGAGTATTCGTTGGCATTGCTGGGTTTTCTGAAGAATCAACCTTGGTTAATGATTCGGTCAGGCCAGATCCCGTTTTCCGAATCAAGGCGGTGGTAGCTGCAATGACTTCCAATCGGACGTTATCTTCGCGCTCGTTGAACAGCCTAGAGATCAGAATTGGCGCGATCCTGCCAAAGAGCATGCCTCTGTCGTCCGCCGAAGAGCCCGAAACAATTGTGTAGAGAGTTTTCGCCGCATAACGTCGCACTTTCCAGCTCATGTCATCGACGTCGCTGAAAGCATCGTCATCATCCAACTCCGCATATTCATCGTCATCGTCATCTTCTAGGGCTTCTTCCGTGATGCCGTCATCAGAATCTTCGTCTTGAGTCCCTCCCATTTCGTCATCTTCGATATCTGCCACATTTGGGTCGTACTTGAGATATCTCAATGCAGCGTCAATAGCGCCAGGAAAATGAGGTTTCATCTCAAGCGGACAGGATCCAAGCAAGGCCTCGAGGGCAAAGAGGGCAGTTTCTCGCAATTCCTCGATCTCTGGGTCAACCTCTGTGTCCTCATCCGACACAGATGCAGTCGAAGAAAGCTCCTTTTGACTGAGGACCTGAAGAACGTAGGGAACGACATTGTTGAGGAAGGGTCCAAATTTGGCTGGACTCGAACGGGCAAGGGTAGCGATCGTTGCCACAAGAAATCTCCGATGTTCCGTGGTTAGCTGAGAGTTTTGAAAGCTTTCCGTGAGGGCTGCCACGAAGGAGCTGACTTGGGCATCATTGAAGTGAACCAGCAATGCGCCAATACCTGCCAAAGCTCGCTTCTTGACCACCCCTCCAGCCAGCGGACTCTCAATGATGTTCATCACAGCCTTGGCCAGCGCCACCAGTTCTAAATCTTGCAGGAGGGATCCATAACATTTGACAATTTCAATCATGACATCGACTGCATCACTACTGAAGCCTTTGTCTCTCTGTTGTTCCAACAATCCGGTCGGCAGCTGTGGCGGAGGCCTACCGGACGGCAACACCACATGACCGACCAGTCTTGGAATCAAGACCTTGCTGACCGCACCATATGCTTCTCTCACATCTTGGGCAGGAGCTTGATTCGGTTTGGGTTGAGGCAAGGACGCTATGAGAGCTCGTAACGCAGAATTGGGGATGGAAAAATCGATGTCACTGCTGGTGAGATCGGTGAGTTTGTCTATCAGAGGTGCAATAGTCTCTCCCGGTATGCGTGCAGCGAGAGGGGCAATACTACGAAGTTAGTGCGTATTCGTACTCAGCATCGGCTCCAACTCACCATTTCAGTGCCTGATTCTGAACTTCGCCGTGCTGATCAGCCAAAGCCTTGAGTAGACCGTCGATGATTCTTGCCGCAGTATGATGGTCAGTCCGTATGTACTCCGAGTGAGAAGACTCTAGCAGTTCTGTGAGGTCGCTAAGTTGCATGAAACGAATATCTGGGTCGGGGTCATTGATCTTATTGAGCAACTGCGCAATCCCAAGTTGGGCCGAATTACGGTCCCTAGCCATGGTGAGCCGCAATGTCCCTTAAGGTGCTCTGATCAAAGGAGAAGTGCAGTTTTCTCAGAACATCGAGACGTGGACTCGGTGCAGCAGAAGTCGCATGGGGAGTTCAGTTGAACTGAAGTGAGGGGACGGTTTTCTCGAGGCGCAGGCAGATTCGATCGCGGAGTGTCAGGACGGCTTAAGGACGCGCTGAAACGCTGAAATCGATGGAGGCCGGGCTGAACTGATAGAATATCCACGAGACGTCGGTTGCAGGTAAGATCCCAGGAGATTGTGCCAGCAAGGCCACTCGGACTTCGTGATTGACAAACACCAAAAGCCTCAAAGTGGGATGAGTCGTGTTTTAGGCGCAGTGGAGAGCCTCACCCGCACCGTAGCGACCAATGACGTCTTCGTGGCTCTGATTGGCTGGAGGAGCTGGTTCCTGAAGGCTCAACTATGGCTCGTATGACATGCGGAACTAAGTATTATTATATGGGGTGAAGCTCCAAAAGCTTCTCCTCCCAGTATTCCCGGAGGTGTTTTCCCGCTGAGCAGCAGTGAGCAAAGAAAGACCTTCCTTTCATTCATAACCCGTACTCTAGACTCTTCGCAGTGCTCGACTTGTCCTGTTCACTTTCCTTTATCTCTCCAATGCCGCTACCAAGATCAGCCGCCCTCCGAGGCACCCTTCGGTCTTTTACCTTTAGACGTGCAGGAACCCAAGCTAGAACCAGTCTCCGTGGAGTTGGCCGGAGGACGTACGCCACTGAACATGGCGCACAAAAGAGCAGCGACATTCCCTGGTCAGTTACCTTTGTGAAAATAGCTACCGCCGTCTCTGACACAGCTTGGACAGGCTAGTTGGTTCCCTCGTCGTTACTATCCCAGCCGCGGGTTGGTTATTGCAGCAAGGACCTCAAAAATCTGATCACGGCCACGGATCCCATGCCACAGAGAAGCACGAAGAAGCCTCCGAAGAACCAAAGGAAGAAGAACAATCAAAAGAAGACACAGAAAGCACGGAGGAAGCAGGGAAGGAGGAGAGCCAGGATGAAGGCAAGGAAGAGTCCACAAGTGAGGGCGGAGAGGAGGAACCGTATGTTTTAGCTCCAGCAGATGCTGCTCACACCAAACTGAATTTGAGTTGTACACTGACACAGTGCTCAGAACCTCCAAGGGCACCGCGCTACCAGAAGACAAGTCTAAACAGTCCGAAGAAAAAGGCGCCAAAGACGTAAGTTGACCCTGCCGGTGGCTGTCTGGATCTCGGCTTGCTAACCACTGACAGGCCCAAGGTGATGTTTCTGGGGCAAACAATCCCTTCATGGGTGATGAGGAGAGAAGCAAGAAACCTGAGGGTATGGAAGAGACGGCTAAGATTCACGGTACTGTGGACACCTCGGAGCGGTCCAGTAAAGGCCACCACGAGGCTGGTCAGAAGGACGACTGATGCTTGGGGCGACCTAACTAATGGGATTAAGTCGAAGAGACTATGCTTGCATTCATGGTTGGTGCTGGCAGGTGTGGCACTGTTGGGCAATTTCCAAAGCCATGGTGGTAATTACTGTGTAGAAAAAGCATTCTGGGACCGAGACCAATTCACACGCTCCTCCAGCGACAAGAACCGTCTATGCATCAATATCCACCGTTAATGCCCGGCCTGCGGTGCTGTAGATGTGAGAGTGATACGCAGGATACGGCTGATACGAGGATCTCGGGGTTTTAAATTTTAACAGGAGATTGCTTGTTGGGTCCATTGACCCTCCATACAAACTGGTCCGTGTTCCGGACAGCCACGGAGCCTTTTGCGGAGGCTTACTATAATTTATTATGACACTGCCATTCTCACATGCCTTCAGCGCCAGGGAGTCTACAACACAACTCTTTCTCCCCTCTTTGAACATTGCCTTGCAAGATTGAAACTGCTACTCTCGGAACGTGCGGTCTCTTCCTGACGACACTGTCGGTATCATGGCTCGTCCACGGCGGACGTCAAGCAACCTTGGGGGTGATCCTCGGGGAGACACCAGCGCACCCGCACTCGCTACCATGACGGCGCGACCGGCTGTGCAGATTTCTGTATGATGAAGCAGAATTGCCTCGAAGATTCGTTATCTGACTCTCTTTAGGCAAATGAGAAGGACGGAAAGCCTCACTCGAAGAGACGGAAAGCAAGGTCGGCCTTTCGAAAATGGAAACAGATATCCTTGCGACACACCTGGCTGAACCCGCTCATCCTCGCCGTAGCGATCCTTATTGCCTACTACATCAATCCTGGCGAGCAGAACCCTCTCCACAAAGCGATCTTCTTGTCGTATAACCTCGGACCTGATTATCCCGGCGGACCAGACATGTATGGCAAGGGAAAAGCGGATATCGCCTTTGTGGCCTTTTACACAATCGTCCTGAGCTTTACTAGAGAATTCTTGATGCAGAGGGTAATTCGCCCCGTTGCCATCAGATGTGGCATCACAAAGAGAGCGAAACAGGCACGCTTTATGGAACAAGTCTATACCGCCATCTACTTTGGCATTTTTGGTCCTTTTGGACTCTATGTCATGTCGCGGGGTTCTCTGTGGTACTTCAATACCACAGCAATGTTCGAAGGGTTCCCCCATCGCACGCACGAGGGTGTGTTCAAAGCATACTACTTGTTGCAGGCGGCTTACTGGGCTCAGCAAGCACTCGTGCTGATGCTGCAACTGGAAAAGCCCCGGAAGGACTTCAAAGAGTTGGTCTTTCACCATATTGTTACCCTCTCCCTCATTGGATTGAGCTACCGCTTTCATTTTGCTAAGATGGGAATTGCTGTCTATATCACTCATGATATCAGCGATTTCTTCCTTGCGGTAAGCGCCGCCCCTGCAACGTGACTTTTCCAAAGCCTAACAGTTCTCAGACCTCCAAAACACTGAATTATCTAGACTCGGTCATCGTCGGACCTTACTACTTTCTCTTCATGTGTGTTTGGATCTACCTTCGGCACTACATCAACATCCTCATTTTGTGGGCAACTCTCACTGAGTTCCGAACAGTGGGACCTTACGAGCTGAATTGGGAGACTCAGCAATACAAATGTTGGATTAGCCAGATCATCACATTTTCTCTACTCGCCTCCCTTCAAGCAGTGAACCTATTCTGGCTGTTCTTGATCCTCCGCATCGCCAAGAACTTTGCCTTCTCGAATATCAGGGCCGATGAACGAAGTGATGATGAAGAGGAGGACGAAGAGACCGAAGATAGGCCAAGCGGAGGAAAGCAGGCGTTGGAGAATGGCAAAATTGGTGGAGACAAACCAGTTGTTCTTGTCAATGGGGAGCCTGTCGAAGGCGTGGCCAAATCAGATGGAGTGCGGGAACGGAAGAGGAAGAGCTGAGGGTATAAAAGCCAGACAACGAGCGTGCTAGAACCACTGGAATCCTTAATGTTTGCAAAGCAGCGAAATCTACCTGGCGGTAATGGACGTGTATGAGTAGATAGGAGCCTCCGAGGTTTAACTGTTTGGCAGCTTTGAACTTGCTGATGTAGGGAAAGCAAAGGTTATTTCCACAGGCCAAAGATGTCTCGTTTGTCCATACCACCTACCCATTTACCATGCGCCTGAATTCCATCATCAGTGTCTTGCTGCGGCAATGCCTGTCGGTCTCATTCACCTCCTCCTGCACACCTTGCCCCACCAACTGGCCTTCATCAAATTCCATCCTGAGACAAAGGTAGGGACGAGCCGTTCGTTTCCAATTCATCTCGACGTCGTATCCAGACTCTCCTCAGCCTCCGCTACGATGAGCCGCCCAGGTAGAGATTAATCCGAGAATCTCTTCGGGTTGGTCTCCATCAAATGTGCTCCGACAATGCCATTTCCATCCCTGACTCTACTTCACGCACCTTCAGGCGCAAGTACACGCAGATTGCAACTTGTATTCACTTGGCACTCAACACACTTGACCCAAGTGATGTGGACATCCTCATCTGACCGAGGACGACTCGAAACGTCCCTACCGATATAATTGATGCATTCTCAAAGAGGCCAGATAAGGAGAAACAGAGCAGGAAGACGCTGCGTTGAAGGCACACTTCAAGATCAAGGATCAATGCTAGATCCTACAGCTGACATGCGGTGACATGATAAAGACAGAGCAACATGAACTTCCCGGAATACCGCCGGAGAGAGCAGGGGCTTCACCACCTCTGGGCGTCGTACATCGGTTCAACATGTGGGGTAGGCTGTTCAGCAACCATTCGGGCCAAACCACTCTTCCTGCTGCGTACAAACCTCGAGACTCTTGGAAGCATCGCTGGCGTCATGTGGAGGAGATTCCGCGCGGCTTCCAGGGCCTCGACATTGCTCGCAGTGAAAAGAAAAAGTGCGACTGGCATGGTAAATTTTCCATCCCCAAACCCAGAAAGCAGCTCTGGATATCGGTTGCTCATTACTAGAGGATGGACCAGCCGCACCAACGGACATTCAGGATCTGCAACAGGAGGTCTAACGCTGTGGCATCTCACAGTTGAAGAAGATAGGGCGAGACCGCTCGGCAGTTGAGACGGCCAGAGAGAGTTTAGCCACAACCATCTGCTCGATTCTTACCCCATCTCTTCGCATCAGAGTTGAAGATTCCTCCACGAACAAGATCCCCATCACAGGATTACCCCCCTGGCCAGCCCCGTCTCACATCCTGGGCAGGCCTGTGGGCTAGTGGAAGCCCATCAGCTCACCCTCGATGGCCACAGATCGTGGGGCTAATGTGTGGGGCATTCTGTTGTTCTGTGAGGATGGGGAAACCCGACGATGTCCTAGAACATGTGTGGCAGCGTGGAGGAGGAAGGGACGATGATTTTATTCAGGACGGCCCTGAGTGGCATGGGCATTATGGGTGTTTCTTGGATGGGCTGCTCGCAACTTCTTAATCATTCATTCGTGTCGCCCTACAACACCTCAGTTGCTCTTCTCCAGATAACTATAGCACCATGGAGATCAAGGCGACCGACGATGCTCCCTTGACCAAGTCCGCGGTTGTGACCGCGTGGCAGTTCGTAGCTGCCCATCCTTTTGTGATCCTCTTCCTGCTCCTGTTTGTACGACCTCTATGGAGACGCTATTCCTCACCGTTGCGACAATTCCCAGGGCCTTTCATCGCCTCATGCACAAGAGCGTGGAAAGGTGGGTTTTGCAGGAAGAAAGCATACCAAGAGATCTTTTGGACTGACTGTGGACTTTACAGTTTGGAGCACTTGGACAGGTCAGACCGAGCAGCATCATATTGCGCTTCACCAAAAATATGGTAATTGCTGCATGTGTTTTCGATCCCTCCGACATAGCTGACCCCCAACAGGCCCAGTCGTCCGCATTGCACCAAACGAAGTGTCATTCTCGAACCCTGAAGCTGCGATTGAATTGTTCAAGACAGGCAAGGGATTCCACAAAACCGACTTCTATGGAGTGTTTCCGCCTCCCGAGAACCCCGACATTTTCACCGAGACTCGGGAAGCCGTCCACGGCGTCAAGAAGCGATATGCGGCGACTCCTTACAGCTTGGCCTCAATGCAGCAATGCACGCCTCGAATTGAGGAGACCGAAAAGCTCCTGATCTCCAAACTGGACGAGTACGCCGACAATAACAAAATCTGCGATTTTGGCGACTGGCTTCACTTCTTTGCGTTCGATGTGAGTCGGGGACCGTGTTTATTCCACTGGCGAAGCGAGGCTGATGATTTGTTGATTCCAGGTTCTGGGCGAAGTCGCATTCTCCAAGAAATTCGGCTTTCTCGAGGCAGGTGTCGATGTCGACCGCGCCATCAAGACAATCGACAATTCACAGTGGTACAACGGCATCGTGGGCCAAGTTCCGTGGCTCGACTACCTTTTCCGACGAAATCCACTATGGAACCTGATCCCGTTCATGTCCAGCAAAAACGCTCTCATCACGAAGACAGCACTCGGGCAACTTCAGAAACGCCAGGGTCCGGAAGGAGAGAAGGTCGAGTATAAGGATCTCCTTAACAGCTTGATTGTGGCGCAGAAAGAGCATCCTGAGGCCCTCGGTCATGGAGACGTATTCGCAATTGCACACGGCGCCATTTTTGCGGGCAGCGATTCCACCGCAAGCACGATGCAAAGCTTCTTCTGGTATGTCTTGTCCAATAAGAAAGTTTATGACAAGCTGGTGGAAGAGGTCATGTCCGCCAATCTGTCCGAGATGGTCGCGTACAACGAAGCACAGAATCTACCCTATTTCCAGGCCTGTCTGAAAGAAGCCATGAGAATTGCTCCTGCTGTCGGCTTGAATATCACACGAAAGGTCCCTCCTGGCGGCGCCGAGATCGATGGCGTCAGGTTGCCTGAAGGCACCGCCGTCGCGGTGAACGGATGGGTCTTGCACAGGAACAGGAGTGTCTTTGGCGATGATGCCGAGGTGTTCCGGCCTGAGAGATGGCTCGATAGTGACAAGGAGAAGGTCAAGATGATGGAAAGATGCATGTTCCAGGTGAGTTCGAATACCCTAAGGGCGGGGTCAGTACGCGGGAAATCGGGGACTAACCCAGCATTTTCAGTTCGGCGGCGGTTCGCACGTGTGCATCGGACGACATCTCGCTCTCCTTGAGATGAATAAGGTCATCCCCGAACTCCTTCGACGGTATGACATCCAGCTTGTCAATCCGGGAAAGAGGCTTGAACACCACTCCAGCTTTTTCGTGGTGCAGTGGGGATTGTTGACTTATATGCGGTTGCGAGAGAAGTCGTGAGCGTGAGCGCGCCGAAAGTTCCTGATTTGTTGCGGACGGAGAAAGATGAAATGATTGCTACTTCGCAATCATTGTACTGGGGTCAGTTGCTGTCGGGATGGCTGCCTCAGCACTAGCGATCCGACAGGCAGATTTCTTTGCTAGATTTGCGAAGACAGGAAACAAGCCGACGGACGGAACCAGCATTTGGGCGATATGGTGGTTACTGGGTATGGCTACAAACCAGCCAGGGAAGCTATTTTCGGAGGCTTTGGAGAGGAGGTTCAATAGTTAGGCTGTTATGTCAGCCCCTTGCAAGAATCAGAAGCAAAAAAAAACACTGAAAAGAACAAGAACCCAAAATATCATCAAGCCAAACATTTCACCTGCCTGTACGGGGTATAGCCATGGCCATTCACCAAGATATCAGGTGACGAGGCTCAACCCTGACTCCAGCTTGTATACTTCATGAGGGCCGGGATAGATCGGTACCACTGTGCTCCGTACCTGTCGAACATAGTATCGCCACCAGAGTTGTAACAATGAATCTTTTATCTTAGCTTTACGGAGAGCAAGATGACCAAGCTCCCGACTAACGGCTCTGTGGCGTGTGGCCGCCCGGATGTGAGCCGAGGAAGGCCGTGTCCCCTCCTACGTCCTCACCCCGCCTGATGCACGGTATTTCACACTCAATTGCCTTTGGCTGGCCTCAGTGGACTGTATTCTATTCTTGCTTCCCTGTCGGCATCCGGAAAAACGTAGCAAGGAGGATCCCCTTTTCTGTTTTGAACCATTAGGACAAAGGAGTGTATGTTATTGCGTTGGTCACGTTGAAAAATACTGGAGAGGCCAGGGTTAGGGCTCCTGCAGAGAATCTAGGAGCTCTGGAGGTCCGAATTGAACAGACAATTATGCTGGCGACCCCTACAGCGAAAGCCAGAGCTGCGAAAGCATGTGCACTATGCCATAAGCGTAAGGTTGGTCTTCTTTTGCTTTGGTCTGCAAGAGCCCGGCGTTGAATGCTTTGCGCCAGGTTCGTTGCGATATTGGTTTATCTCAGCCCTGTTCCAATTGTCGATCCTCCGGGCGCGAATGCATGTAGGTTCGAAAGGCTTACACTCGGACATCTTGCAAACGGCTGACGAAGAACTCAGACCCAGACCTAGAAAGTCCAGAAGATATTCCCCGAGCACCTTGTTCCCAGCAGCGGGCCCCTTGCCAGACAGCGCGAATAGCAACGAGGTCAACGAGGTCAACGAAGTTGAATCGTCAAGATCGCATCCCCTGCAAGACGAAGGGCCAAGAAATCAGGACGAGTCGGTCCATGCCTCATATCCAAATAATGAGGCTCCCGATCCCTTCCAGATTGCTACTCCTAGTTCGATTTCTCGTTCCAGAGAGATTCCAGACACTCCTCACCAGGCATATCTTGGCCGTTCCGAATATGTCGGTCCCGATGCTCGAATCGACGAGGAGCTTGCTCAGAACTATGCCGTCAGCCGTGGAAAGTATGCGACTCTAGACGACAGCATACTGGAACAGCAGCATGCATTCGACTTGCCCCCACGGAATATCCGCAGTGTTCTCATAGACAACTTTGTCAAGATTTGCAGTCCCTGGATGCCTATTGTCGACGCCGAGGCACTTGAACCGACGTCGGAGCACAAGCCATCCATGCTGTTACTCCAGGCCGTCTTTCTTGTCGGCAGCAGGATGCGATCCTCTCCCCTCGAGTATGCCTCGTGTGAGGACTTCTACCGTCGCGCCAAGACTCTGTTCTTCTTGCAGCACGAGCAGGACATGATATCTGTCATCAAGGCGCTCTGCCTGATGCAGTGGTGGAATCCCACTGGCCCAGAGCACGTTTCGCTGGACAAAGGGAGCTATTGGCTTCGTGCCAGTGTCGGCCTCGCCTTTGAAATTGGGCTTCATCGAGATCCAGGGTCTAGCCCAGAAGCATCACTTCGCAGACTACTGTGGTGGACGATCTTCGTACGTGGACTCCCAGAAGGCTTGATTATTCAGACAACCACTGACTGTTCTTCTGTTTCTGCAGACTCGCGATTGCTTGATTTCTTCTGGCCAAGGAAGGCCACGGGCTATCAATCTAGAAGACTGTGATGTTCGACCTATCTCGATCAATGACTTTCCACAGCCCACCAAAAGCGCTCACTTGTTCGTTGCCTTTGTTCAGATATGTTCCATCCTGGGCGATCTCACCCAGTGCGCTCTGCGCAACAATCTCTCCTACTCGAGAAAGGCAACAATTGAGAGAGACCTGAGGCAGTGGATACAAGAACTCCCCCCTTGCCTGCAGATGTACCAGCAGCACCCCGTCAAGAAGCCGGCGACATACGATATCGATGTCCGCCAACTCCATGTGCCTTACTTTACCGCACTGACGATCCTGTATAAGCCCTCATCCAGCACGAGTGCCCCTTCACCCGTGGCGCTTTTGGCGTCGTCCTTCGTGGCGGGCATCTTTGAAGATTTCTTGAGGAGAGACGACGTCCGGTATCTGAACTCGATCTTTACCTTCCACCTCCTGATTGCGGGAGTCACACAACGGTCCTGCGACAGGTACTGCGCCATTCGGGCCCAGGCGGAGGAGGAACTCCGCGTCATCGCCGCCGCTCTTCAGGAACTGAGCAGGCAATGGGACTCGGCCCTGGGGCCGCTCAAGATCATCCAAAGCTTCTCCCACGACAGCCGCCGCGAGGCCGTCGTCGCCACCCTCCACCCCCAAAGACTCACTCCCGACCAAAGGGCCTTCTTCGAGCCGTACGGGCCGGAATTCTGCCGCAAATGGGACATGCTGCTCGACCGGCCGCACCTGCCAGAGTCGGACTACCACGACGAGAGATTCGGGCCCGCGGACTCGAGCGTCCCGGCGTACAGCGAGCTGGCAGATCTCGCCGTGCCCGAAACAGCCACTCAACCGCTGCTGGAGTTCAACTTTTCCGACTACGGTCCCTTCCTCGGCTGGGGCGACTTTGGGGCCAACGGCCTGGAGTAAAGTCTGCGGTCGCTTCCTCGACAATTTAGTGTGCCACAGTGCCGACCAGCCGGGAGTTCGGCAGTTTGTGGGCTCTATAGGGCCCACAACAATAGCACCGATTGGTATTCGGCAATCTTCTCGTCAGCATGCCGAGGGTCCAGACCCAAGCGAGCACTCCGCACGGCTGCCTTTGATACGCGATGCAGCGGCGTTAGTTGCCCACCGTCCCGCCATGTCGCATGACCAGGCAAGGGTATAGATAGAAGGTGGAGGGAGTTGGAAAACTCCCCGTGCGGAAGAGCATCAGCTGCACATCCGATCTTGCCCCGGAGCCCCTCGTCTATCTGATGATCCTGTACAGGTTCCGAGGGAACGGCTCGCTGATCCATGTACGTCGGTCAAGCGTCTGTGAAAAGGTGGCCATCCATGACAGTCCTGATAACGTGATCACGCATGGCACGCCCGGTAAGAAGGGGGCGGCTATTCGTGAACAACGTAGAAGGTCAAGGCAGCGGGCGTCATGCCACTTTACAGACTCGACTCAGATAACAGACATTTATGGCAGGCAAGATGACTTGGTTTGACTATAGAATTTCAGGTGCGGCTTCGTTGTAGGTTCCAGGCGAGGCACAGAATACCATACGCCGCCCCCGTTCAGCATGCATTGCTTTCCATCTCATTCCAGCGACTTTACCGCCACTTCATGGTGGGTCGAAACTTCTTTCGATGCTCCATATTCGACTTGAGGGACGACTTGAACATCCTGTTGTAGGGCGTGTGGTTCGCTGATCTCGTCGTAGTCCTACAGCATTGGAATGGTTAGCCTGCCTCCCATCAAGTCCGGCGAACATTTCAAGGGGGTCCAACTCACTCCGAACAGGGCGGCGATTTCTTCCAGGGGCACGCCGCGAGTGTCAGGCCACACGAAGAATATCACTATAGCCGAAATGCCACTCAAGATGATGAAGACCAGATAGTACCGCCATCCGATGTTCCTGGATCCGGGTCGAGGTTAGCGGCCGTCATGTCTATCTAAAGGGTCGGGGCAGCGGTGAAACATACGCGAAAGCGGTGGGCGCCACGGTCAGGAAGATGACGTTTGCGAGGTTGATTCCTGCTACGCCCAACGAGAGCCCCTTTGCTCTGAGATGGGAAGGGAAAAGCTCGCCACAGTACACAAACTGCGTCCCAGAGAGCACGCCGCACCAGAAGAACTCGTAGATGAAGATCATGGCCACGCTGGCCTTCAGCGCCACAAAGTTCTGGGACGAGCCGTAGTTCGCGATCATGGCGGCGAGGACGATCAGACAGACCACGCAGCCGCTGAGGCCCATGGTCAGGAGTCGTGGTCGCGGCAGCCTGTCCACGAAGAGGAAACCGCAGAAGCTGCAGAATATGCCAAAGGTCGACCAAACCGCGGACAGAAGCAATTGCTTCTCGCTATCGTAGCCCAAGCTTCCGTATATGGTAGGCCCGTAATCTGCCTCAAGTCAGCAAGGCCTGTCCTTCGCGGGGGGTTCAAGAGAGCACTGAACTGTTGATGACGAGAATGCCGGAGCAGTTGGCCATCATGCATGTTCCAATGGCCAAGAGACAACGCTTCCGATAGCTGGCCTTCCGAAACATGTGGATGTAGCTATTGTTGAGGGTCCTATCGACGCTCATCTGCGCCTGGATTCGGTCCAGCTCGATCTGCGCTTCGCTCGCGGTGTGGGAACGCAACAAGATGCTTCGTGCGTCATCGACTCGGCCTCGCATCAGGAGCCAGCGGGGGCTCTCGGGAAGCCAATAGATGATGGAGAGAGTTATAATCGGAGGTAGGCACTGGAAAGCTGCATGAATGTCAGCGTTCGAAACTCTCCTTGGGAGAACTGGCTGCCGGGCGCTTGACGTACCCAAAGGTGGTCTCCACGCATCCATGGATTTGGTGGTGAGGAAGTAGAATCCGTATCCGACCCATGATGCCACAGCGAATCCAAATTGGAAGACGGCTCCATGTATGTCAACGAGGACACCTCGGTTTGCAGCCGGGACAACCTCATTCATCCAGAGCGGAACTCCTGCAAGTAATATCGACGATCTATTTGCGTCAACACGGTTGTCGCTGGTTGGGTCATTGGACTGGATCAAGAACTCACCCTGCTCCACTGACGAACCTAAAGACAATGAACATGGCGACGTGGACCGAGCCAGCAAGCCCTGCACCAGCTATGAGGGTCAAAAGGGCGCCCTATCGTCATTGCCGTGAGTACTCGATTCCACCATGATCACGCACCAGATCGATGGCTCAAGGAACATACCACTGAAATGGCTACCTTTCTGCCCCATCGGTCGGCCAGACTCCCAACGAATAGAACCCCGATGAAGGCTGCAGCGTGATAGCCGCCCTGTGTGTTCACCGCAGTTAACAATCTTGAGAACTCGAAAGTGGTCCGTCGTCTTTCCCGCTGATTTCATGGAGGGCTGCTCACGTTCATAACACCTTTCAACTCGGTGGCATTGCTTCTGGTATCGAGTTCGAAGTATTTGATAAACGTAGGCTGGCCTGTCCCAATGAGTATTGTTCGGGAACTTGCTCCTCGAGCAACAATTTGAGCGGATGTCGGAGAGGAAGCCTACCAAAAGTGGTGGAGATAATGTTGTTACTGTAGCCAAAACTGAGAGAACCAAAAGACATGGCCAGAACAGTGATCAGATTGTAGGCCCTGTACTGCCTCCATTTGGAGGGGCTACCGTCGAGATTGTCAGAATCCATGGTGGTTGCAAGGGTGCTTCTTCGGGGAGTCCTTTCGCAGGTACAAGCCAACCAGAGTAGAAGTGACAGGGAGGAAATGAAGAGAAGAGGCTTGAGACGAGATTCTGAACTTCTCTGCTTGGAGTTCTTGATAATTCCTTCCATCCTGCTCCTCTTCTACAGCGCCATCTTCGGCATTGTGGCCCGAACTACCGAAGCAAACGCCGAAAGTTCTTGCCGCCTGAAGCCGCAAAACACGGGCATCTTCAAGCACGCGGTCTTGAGACGGTAGATGAAAATGACACTGGTCAAGGACAAAGCCAACAAGTCCCTTCAAGAATGGTGCCACCCCTAGGGAAACGACTGTCTTCGTATCGTGAATCCACGATTCGGCAGCCACCATGAACCCAGCCCTTTGGCACTCCTTGCGCACCAGCCAGAGACTCCCGTCACAGAGCTGGTACTTTATCGCGGCGACCACGCTGGCAGTCCTAAATCGACCTGATGAGATACCTAGGGTCTTTCGACATGCGATCGACCACTGCCGACTAGATAACAACGGGACCGACCGTGCTGCCGAGCTTACGATAGCAAGGCGAATGCGAGAGGCGCTGGTCAAAGCCTCTGCTGTTGGAGGTCTAGCCAAGGTACTGATATTTTATAAAGCTCCCCTATTCCTGAGACGTTACGTTGACTGGAGCGCCCTACAGACAATAAATGCGCTTCTAGCACTAAAGACGGAGACACCAGACCAGCTTCTTGACCTGCCCCCAACACCGTCGCCCACTGCACGCCGGCAAGATCTGGTCGAAACGCCACCAGCGACGACCTTAGAACGGGGAAAGCTCTACTTTGATCGAAACTACGGCAAGATTGCCGGAAGAGTCATGAACCAAATGGAACTTTCTGGGACTGAGGATCTGGGCGTGGTTGCTCGATTGCTCTACGGCCATATTCTGAGCAACGCAAACATTTTGTCCCCCGTCGAGACCAGCTACGTGCTGATTGCGGGATTGATACCTCAAGATGTGAGTTGGATTCTGGATGTTTCCAGCCAATGTTTTAAAAAGTCCTAAACAGTGTGCAGGTCAACCCACAATTGAAGGGTCATCTAAGAGGAGCTCTGAACCATGGCGCGACATTCGAGGAGGTCCAGGCGGTCCGAGACGCAGCCATTAGCATATCCACCGCTGCAGGGATGGAGAGATTGGGTGATGGAGCGGTTGGCGGTTGGGGCTGGAAACAGGAGATCGCCAACATAACGAAATAATGTCTATTTGAACATGAGATCTCCCGTTCTCAGACATACTCGGCTGCCACGGACATGTGCTACCGAAGGAGAGGCCAAAGGTGTCGCACCCGACGCAGCAGAGGGAGCGGAGTAGTGCCAGGTGCGCCAAAAGAAATAGACAAGAAACGTCTCCGTTATGCCCGTCTCGATCACCCAAGCAGTCCTGTTTTCACAGGCCTCGACCTGCAGAAGAATACTCAGGACCACTGGGAGTTGAAATAACGAGGTGCGAGGGAAACCACGGAAGACGACGGCGCTGCTCTGTGACTTAGATTCGTCATTTCATCGTAGACGAATATGAGTTCACCTTGGGATGTTCGATCTATGCCTTGAGATTTTCGTATCCCATGCCACCCCTGACACTGTCGTGTGAAAAGCCAATCAGTCTGTCAAAAGACCAGATGAATTTCTCCTGAGAATGATCTTGGCCTAGTCCAACAGGACAGCCTTGACCTGTCTCCGTTCTAGATCCAATGCCGCTTGGAAGTTGCAAGATCTGTTCTCGGGCCGACCACGACAATCGGCATCCTCAGGTCCCCCCGAGGACGGCACTTCGGATATTGATCACTCGGTATTTTGTCCACTTGCCACTGACATGTTGATTTATGCAGTGGTTTTCTTATATGTCACGGTATACCTTGGCAGAGCCGAAATCATGAGGCCACACATACAATCTTCACAAAATGGGCATGGGGATCCGGACGTCGCGCCTCCTCCGGCCTACCAACACGCTAGCAAGATCTTGGTTCGCGGGAGCTTCAAGATTCTCGACAGCCAGACCGGCTCAGTTCGAACAGCCTCAGACCCCGGGGGCGCTGGAGGGGATCAAGATTCTCGATTTAACACGGGCGCTTGCTGTACGGGTCGACGCCGTCTCATCAAGAGTTTTGGCGTTTTCGGGTTTCTTTTGCACTAGAGCTAATCGTTGTTTAGGGCCCGTATTGTACGCAAATTCTGGCAGACTATGGCGCCGAGGTGATCAAGGTTGAGCAGCCAGGAAAGGGGGTCAGTGGGTGAAATATGCAACGTGTCGCGAAGGCTGTTGGCACGTCAAGCTAACTTGGGACCCTCGTCGGCGCGATAGGATGACTCGAGGCACTGGAAAACCGTGGCCGAGATGGAGAAGTGGAAGACGCCACAAGCAATGTCGTTCTACTTTGCCAGCACCAACCGGAACAAGAGGTCCATCACCGTCGATCTCAAGAAGGACGAAGGCAGAAGGATCATCCACGACCTGATCAAGCAAAGTGACATCATGTAAGACCGCCTCCAGCAGGCAGGGAGCCACCAGCAAGAGCCAGTCGAGATCGCTAACTTCAAGTGGTCACGTAAAGGATAAACAACTTTATCCCTGGGAAAATGGAACAGCTCGGGATCGGGTACAGCGTTGCGGCGAAGCTCAACCCCTCGTTGATATTCGCTAGTATATCTGGTAGGTCGCGGTCCTACAAAATCGGTGATTTACTGAGCAGAGGCAACCCGCCAGGATAGGATATGGACCCTCGGGACCATTTGCCACAAGAGCAGGCTACGATCTGATCGCGGCCGCTGAGACGGGCCTGCTTCACATCACAGGGGAGCCGGATGGGCCACCCACCAAGCCTGGCGTGTCCATGATCGACATGTGCACGGGACTCTACATGCACGGTGCCATTCTCGCTGCACTGGAGGCGAGACACCGAACTGGAAAGGGCCAGATAGTGGACGCGTCTCTGTTCGAAACACAGATATCGATGCTCGTCAACGTCGCCTCTACGTTTCTCAACACCGGGCAGGAAGGGCAACGCTGGGGAACGGGCCACCCGACTATCGCTCCCTACTCGGCGTTTCCGACCCAGGATGCGTACATTGTGGTTGGCGCCGTCAATGACCGCCAATTCGTGTCTCTGATGACCCACCTCGGCGATCCTGACCTCTGTAAGGACGGCAGGTTCCACGATAATGCCTCGCGCGTCCAGAACCGCGCAGCGTTGAAGGCGATCCTCGACGGGCTCTTCCGGCGCAAAACCACGCGGGAATGGCTTGCCGCGTTCGAGGGCACGGGCATGCCGTATGCCCCCATCAACAACATCGGGGGCGCGTTTCAGCACCCTCAGATTGAAGCGCGGGGGATGATCGAAACGATGAGGTCGGATGCCACCACGAGCGGCGAGATCAGAGTAGCTGGTGCGTCCTATTCTATCCGCCCTCTTGAATTGCATTCTGCCAAAAAAAATAGCGGCAAGGAGAATGGTCGTTCCTTATTTACTTACTTGGGATGTCACAGGGATTCCTATCAAATTCGGCGAGACCCCGCCTTCGATCCGCAGGAGCGCGCCATTGCTCGGTGAACACACGGACGAGGTGCTCCAGGAAATCGGCATGTCGGACGAGACCATTACCAAACTTCGAAACGATGGTGTATTATAGTCTAGACCATTATAGAGCTGCCGGAAATAGACGATACCTGGTTGATGCTGCGAGGAAATGGCGCTGGGGGGCATGGTCCTTTAGAGGGAGAAGCGTCGATAGATGGTAGAAAAAGACGGTAGAGGAATCAAAACAGCCAAATGGAAATCTTTTCTGCTGTCCACATCCCGACGGTCTGGCCGGAGCATTGAAAGTCGGTCAACCAAACAAAGGGAACGGACCCTAGGAACGAATGTTGGAAGTCTGGCACTGACAATCAGAATTTGAGCACGAATACCTCGACTGGACACACTTTACTAGCACCCTCAGGACAAATCGACCATGAGCACCCCCAAATCTGCCGTATCAAGTTCAGATACGAGAATTCCTTTGATTTTGGCTTCGATCATAGACGAGACCTACAGTAAGAACGGCTCAACGAAAATCGGTTCCAAGACATTGAGTTGGCCCGGTCCATGAGATCGCGAAGGGAGGAGGAAGCGAGAAGAAGGGATCCTTTTGTCAAATGATTGGTGTGAGCCGAAAAGTAGGCACAGTCTCCCAATTTGGCAAAGGTTCAAAGGGCATTTTAATTAATTCTTTGCGGTACTCTTTCGGAAGTTTGAGGCCGAGCTCTTCTCGCGAGGGCATCATCAGGTCCGTGCTGGAGCCGTACCTTGTGAGTCTCAGGCCATGACTGGTGATATGAAACCAATATTTCTGAATCAACAAGAAGCTGATGTTCCGGCCGCTCCCCCAAAGATGTCGTGAAGGAGGAAGACTTGAGATGGGCGTATTCTGCTCACTCATAAGATCATCGTTTCGTGAGAAGCGACTCCATTCTTTTCAGACAATTCGTCAGGAACCATCACCGACTTCCCTCACATTCGAATGATTTGCCATCAAGGCAATTCCAAGATCAAGATATTTGGGGCTCCGGTACAAAGGTGCTGGAATCAGCACGCCTTGAGAACTGGGATTTCAGCGTCTTGGTGCGTGATTCATCCTGTTATAACCGCCCATATGGAGTGTCGATGGGAAGCCCCTCAAGCCTCAACATGAAGTCCCGGGTACAATATAGAGGCTCGGACGTTGACATTTTGATCGGACAGAATATGAAAATGCCGGGGCTCGCTTGAGCAACTTTTGCTCGCCTCGATGCTCTCGCTCGTCGGCCCCTTAATTGCTCTGTGCGCGTGAATCTTCAAGTCGACTCGTATGTTAAGGAGGCACTGTTGGGACTTGGTTCCTTGACAGGCAGGACTCATCTCGATCAGGCACCGAGACTACGCATGTAGGAGGGCACGCAGACAGCCTTCGCGGGAGAGATTTCGTGGATGTACATTGCGGCATGGATCAGCTGGGAAGACCCTCGTACGAGGTAGGACAATTTCTCCGGGCACGCGACCATGCAGGCCTCATGGGGGAGTGAGTCAGCGGTATTTAGCTGGCTGAGAATATTGACGCACTCCCGAAGAGGCGCAGACAACGTCCAATTGAGTGAATGGAAGGAGAAGCAGGAATCCCTGAAGGGTGAGTCCTTCACAATCCCAGAGCTTCGTGGCGCCTCGTGGGCTTTACATGACATATGTATGCCGCGAAAAGACCGCCCCCACCGGACACCTGAGCGCGTGAAGTGACCAAAGTGCCTTTTCAACTCAAGGAGTAGAAACGAGAAAAGAGGGGGGTAGGGGATAGTTATGCTACTCTACACCCTGATTGAGAATGTTGAGGGTTGGCGATGGGACTCAAGGATTCGCGGGACGCAGGGTTGAACACGATCCAGGACTCATGTCGCTAAGGAGGCTGGCCAATCGGATTGCTGCCATGTGACATCGACCCGCAAGGCTCCGTTAACGTCACCGCGACAATTTCATCCAGGCTTGCACTACCGAGTTGTCGATCCGTCCCGTCTCGGTGGCCAGGCTCAGTCCAAGAGTCCCACACTCTTGAAGCTGAATCCGATTTTGCTCATTGATCCACAGTACGTATAGGCGTAATTGCCAGGCATCTAGTTGCCAGCGAGCCCTCTCGGGCAGATTGGTGATTGGTTGGTGCATCACGGGTCCAGTTTCAGGCACAATATTCAAAGGGGGCGGTGCATGAATGCCCTTGGCTTAAATATCCTCGAGCCACCATGGTCCTGATGCATCGAGTTCAGCAAACAGCCAGCGCGTCAAACCTCTTCACCTGACGAGGCCAAACACAACAACACTTCTACACGATGCCCTCCCAACAAGACACTATGCTATGTAACGCATGCAGCGACCTACTCTCGGTGGTCAAGACACATCCACCGGGGACCTGGACTGGTGTCAAGCCAGCACTCTTTGAACACCCTGAGGAACCGAACGAATGGGCGGGCTCCCACCACATTCATGTGGGCGACTTCTATGAGGCCGTCCAGCAGGGATGCTACATCTGCTGGACGATCTATCGAGACTGCAGCAACGAGCTTCGAGAGCAAGCGCCCGCATTTCGCACATTCTACCAACTTCGTTCGCTGGACGCTGATGGCACACTACCTCACCTAGAGGACCATTACGAGTTAGAATTTACTACCGAGATCTTAGACGGAGAGGCGCCGATCGCTAAACTACAAGTTTTCGACTGTAGCGGCGTTTTCAAAATCCTTCCGAAAAATGGTAAGCGTTCTCAAAGAGCCACTGTCGGTTCTGTCACTAACGAATCTCGTCAGAGGTATCTGCTTCGGGGGAGCCACTCGCTTTAACACCAAACACGTTTTCTGGGAGATGTAAAGACCAAGTTCGGCAGTGGCTCGATAATTGTCGTGCGACGCACCTTCGATGTAACCAAGACTGGCGCTCGGGAGCTGGCTCTCCTGCCCGCTTGTTGCACATCGACTCGGATTCTAAGGGTGGAGGCACTTTCCGCTTAGAAATGTTTGCAAACAAAACCCGCCCCCCCAGATACGTTACCCTAAGTCATTGCTGGGGAGCTGGTACGGCAGTTACGTTGACCGAAGAGAGTCTGCCACGCTTATCGGCAGAGTGGTCTCAGATCAACTCGCTTCCCAAGAGATTCCAAGATGCTATGCAGATTGCCAGCTGGATGGGAGTTGACTACATTTGGATTGATGCGTTGTGCATCATCCAGGACTGCCGAGACGATTGGATTGCAGAGAGCACGAAGATGGGCGACATCTACACCAACTCGTTTTGCAATATTGCGGCGACCAGCGCTGATCCTCAACAAGGATGTTTTACGGAGAGGCTTGTTTATATGGTGGAGCCATATCCGTTACCCAATCCTCAACTTCAGGACGGAGAAAAGACGTACGTCATCGGCTACGATGACTTTTGGAGCAACAGCCTTTCCGACACGGCTTTGCATACGAGAGGTTGGGTTCTTCAAGAGCGCTTGCTGAGCCCGCGGACCATCCATTTCGGGCAGGAACAGATATTCTGGGAATGCCGATGTGAAATGGCCTGCGAAGCCTATCCGGACGGCATCCCTGAGCAGTTTCACAACCGAAAAATGCACACTTGGAGGCAGGCAGACAAAATCCTCGATCCAGCTTACAAGCGACCATCCGAATGGTCACTGGTCTCGAAATATGTGCCACGACTGATCTCAAATTGGCTGGCTTCGGGCTCAAAAGGAGACGACTTCCACTGGGTCTACGAAGTTTGGAGCAGGATCGTCGAGGCGTACATGGAATGCAAATTGAGCTACGGCGAGGACAAACTCGTCGCAATCTCCGGCATTGCTCAAAAAGTCGCCGAACTCACAGATGAAAGATATCTTGCGGGGTTGTGGGACAACGCACTGCTACCCCAGAGTCTGCTGTGGTGCGTCTTGGGCAGAAGGCAAGCTGATGGCACTCCATCATTGAGATGTGCTTCGGCAGGAGCCGAGGACTATCGGGCTCCATCCTGGTCGTGGGCGTCACTGGAAGCCAAGGTCATCTGGAACTGGCCGGCCAAGCGTGCCAAGGTCGTCATGGAGATCTTGAGTACAGCCATTGAACAGCCCAAGAACAGCAAAATGGCCAAGGTCTCATCCGCGGAGATGCAAATTCGAGGATCTCTGTTCGAGGCTTGTCTCCAAATTGCCAGCCGGGATGTGGACGGAAAACCCGAGGAAGACGGATTATATACGTTGGTGCTCAACAGTCACGACGACCCCAACGACATGCAATCATACTGGATGGAGCCCACCATCTACCTCGATACGCCGATGATGCCAGACTCCGATTCCATGGATGTGTTTCTACTTCCAATCTGCACACAGTGGCAGGGGCGATCTGGAGTGGAGCCAACAGTTCTCGCCGGCCTCCTGTTGAGAAAATCGGTGTCGCCTACAGCCGAGACGAGGTACGAGAGAATTGGGATATTCGGGTTGGACCACAGCCAGGCTTGCACGGTTTGTGGTATTCGGCCCGAAGACAGCGGCTCCATCGAGAATGCACTGGGGAGTATGAGACGGGAAGACATATGCCTCATATAATGGAGGGCGCCATGGACATTCGACTTGAATTGTCCCTCACGTTGATTTGGCCAAACGGTCTTTATGCTGGATTCAGCACTCATTAACCTATGTCATTGATTCATATGCTTTGACAGTGGGCACTTAACGGGGGAGAGGGAAATCTGGAAAAGCGATTTTATACATCTATGTTAGTGTTAAATTATGTAGCCTAGGATCTGTATGATCAGAACGTGGTAGGGATTACGAGGTTCAGCTGCCCCTTCTCGACGCAGAGAACTCGCACCATTATTAAAACTGTCCCCTTAGCCAATTGGGACATCGGAATATAAGGAGTTCGAAGGACGTCTTCCATCAAGTGAGAAGGACATCATAGGCGAGGTAAAGCAGGCAGAACAACGCAAAAGGTGTTCAGGCAACTTGATTTAGGCACGGGCCAGAACACCTGAACGCGAGCTGTGGAAGCTGTAGCCGGATCGCCCTCGCAGGGAGGCCCCAGTTATCCATCTAGACTTTTCTTAACGTCAAGGCAAATCCCTCAATTACATCCTCTTCATCGCCCAAAGTGCACGGTCTTCCATTACTTGCTTAATTTGATGGGACATAACGAGGGTGCGAAGATCCAGGTTGTTGATCAAGTCGGGATAGACATATTTCGGCATGTTGTGTGCAAGACCTAGGGTGAGCATTCACCACTGTTCAACCTTCTCGCGACGTTCAACCATTTTTACCTTCTGGGGCCAACACATCTTTTATGAGAAAGAGCTTCAACAGTGGCACTTTCAGCGATTAAGGCGCCCAAAACCATCAGGACCGATCGTGCAAAGCGACTACCTGTTGAGGGAAAGACTGTCATGCAGCCAAAGGCGCCAATGCAAGCCACACCAAAGGTCCCAAGAGCCTTTGTCCAGCTGATCATGTTGAGCATCTCGGGGCCCCTGGACGCCTTTTTGTTGGTGCCTTGCACAGCGCCCCTTTACACGGCAGCGCTGAAACAAAATATCATATACCAGTTATCTAGTTGCCATGGCATTCTTGCGCCCTGCAGCCGCCGATAACAATGCAGGCATCGGGAGGCACAGGCGTGGAAGTTGAACATGTCAAGGACCTTGAATTCCTGGCGATGCATGGGCCTTTCGCACGCACTGCACGGCCCCAGTAGGGGGGATGAACGATCCCTGTGCGGCCCCAACAAGCGTGCAGCTCTGGTCGCCTTTTAACCACTCAGAAGCCATCAAGCAAGCCTCTGGGTCTTGAGCTGCGCCGCCAGGGCCTTCCAATACAGCCAATGCTGCTAGCTAAACCCGCCAAAGCCATTCCAACTGCTTGTCCCTCGCAGAATGGAACACCAAAGGGCACACTGAGCAAAAGCCCTCTCCTCGACCATGAATGCAATTTCTCCGGTCCCCTTGATGATGTTCAACAATTTAAACTGGCCTGACGCCATGAGACACAAAGCTAGACATCATGGTTTCTATATAACAGGTGTTGCCGCCGCCCCGCCTTCTGATGATTTCTGAATTCGTACTTGAATATTCGGGGTCGGTCGCCTGCTTCAAAGGTGCTACAAACTCTCAACTCTACGTTGGAATGTCTCCTGCACTCGCCTCCCCGCCGCTCCCAAAGGTTCCAAGCTTCGTCAGTTGGCACAACCCCATATTGCGCGTTTGTGCATTTCGTCCACGGACCTACGTCGTCTTGGTCGTCGGCCACGGGTGATTATGCACATGGGTATAGGGTTACCTTCACACTGATGTGTGTTGGTGAGGAATGACTGCCGGCTCCTCCTCCCAAGTCCCCCCTCCCCGTTCTGGCCCCCTCGGTCCGCTCGACCTTGGCTCAACAAGACAGACTTGGCGCCCATTTCCCCAAATGGATTTCCTATTGCGACTCTTCCCTTCTCTCAACCAATCAGCTCCCACATGGGACGAGGGACTCAGACCCCACCGCTGAACACCATGTCACTGGCCAGTACTCGTGGTCTACACATACTCGGCAGAGACTATGATGCCATTGCCCATGAGGAAATGGTCCCAAGGTCCGAAGAAAGAATAGAGTCGCTGCTGCCCTACGATGGGCTCGAGGCTAGCCCGCTGAAGAGGTGAGAGTACAAGTGGTATCGTACTGGCACCAAGACATGTTCGATACGCGGTTTTGGGAGGTCATTACCGATGTTAAAGCACCAGGAGGATGAAAGCGTGGTGTCGCTACCCAACGTGACCGGAAACTGGTGGGATTGACCCTTGTCACCTTGGTTTGGTCATCGTCTTTCTTTTCCTCCCAACTCCCTCACCACGGCATCCAAAACTCCCATCCCCCTCGCCTGCGACTCAAGCTTTCCATTACCTCCGAGCATTCATCATCCCGTCATTCTCCCTCTCCCCCCTCCGTCCAAGCCCCCTGCCTGCCATCCATCTCTGAGCATCTTACCGTCTTCTCTTCTCTTCTCAACATTCTCGACAGCAAGCAGATCTCTTCCCATAACTACTGGGAAAATAATCAATTTACTGAATAATTCCAATTGTCTCTCAAACTGTTGGCATCTAGACCACTTCTACGGTCAATTGAGATCCTCGTGCTCCTGATCTTGACGATGTCGGCGTCCATCAACATGCCCATCCACCCACCACCGCATAACCATGCCGGTGTCAGATGCAGGCACGGCCATGGATACTTTGACGACGAGGGCATGACGCCCAAGCAACGTGAGTCAACGACTCCTCCCCTCGTAGAGACGGCCTAACAATCCCGCAGGCTCAGAGGCCGAAAAAAGGGTCATCGAGGAGCTCGGCGGCCTCTTCTGCGACTGCGGCAAGTTCTTCGCGGGGAAATACGCGAAGACCAACCTCACCCGCCACCTCCGCGAACAAAACACCCGCTATCTATGCTTCTACTGCCAGAGCGAGTTCGCTCGTCCCGGAAACCTGCACAACCACCTGCTCGAGAAACATCCGGGGCTGGAGTGTGCGCACTGCCGCACGGTTCCCCAGCCCGCCCCACGACGATTCAAGTGTCCTGAATGCCCGCGGACCTTCCACACCATGGACGATATGCTCCGTCACCTGCACACCAAGCATCGCCATGATCGCTAGTTACGAGATGAGTTACGGCCGAAGCTGGACGACAGGCGTTGGAATGCAAGCTTCGAGATGAGAGAGAACTGGAGGCGGATTCCAGGGAGATGTGTGAAGCTACACCTGAGATTCTCGACGAGTTGGTCTGCATGAGAGAGGTTTTGATGTTGGTTTTCCACCCCCGAGCAGTTTCCCACCATCCCCAGGTGATTAGAGAGAGGGGATGACGAAGTTGTCCAGACGGCAACTTCGCAAGCTATACTACTGTTTGATACCCATACTTTTAAAATATATTTTCCACACCTGCCTTTTAGCTTCCTGCTCGAGAATTACGAAGTTGTTCTCGGTACCATTTTCTTGAGCCTTCCACATTCTGACATCTCTGCCTGGCGCCCTGGTGCACTTGACACAACCACCAGAAGTATCCCCATCCGCCCCCATCACCTACAAACACATTTTCTATGCATTTTCTCGTCCACTTCGCGACGATCACCGTCGGGGAAGTAATATCCCATAGGCCAGCACTTCGCTGTTTCGGGAGATAATCAACAATTCCTGATCAAATCATTGCAGCAGCGTGTACACAATTATTACAGCGCCAGGACGTGCCACACTTACGAGTGAACACCAAAGGGTCATGCCTTAGGCAGGGCATCCGGGGGGGCAAGACAGCACACGCAAGCAGAGACGTGAAAGTCGGAGGCATATAGCTATGGACACGGGTGGCAGCCACTGGAAACCGCCCGGAGGGAGAGCCTCTTGGGGTCTCTCGCACCGCCTAACGAGGTGTGGAAGACCTGGGCGCCAGGTAAACAGGGCCCTGGAGCAGGTGCGCCTGGCGAGAGATTCTAGGGGCTACGTTAGGCATATTGAGCAGACGTGCAAGCGCCCATAAGAGCCTAGAAGTAGTCCGTCCAGAGGCCCTTGGGCTGGGTTACATGAGGGCTGGTGAAAGCAGGAGGGGGAGTAGCATTCAGCATCTCGAAGAGTTGGGCGGGACGGGCCAACGAGTGAGGGAGGGAACGTCCGAGGGGGGGGGCATGAAGCAGGGCGCCGCCCAATGAGTCAATCAGCCCAGTCTGTTGGCAGTCAGTTCTCCCAGCGGCAGTGGCAGTGGCAGTGACGCAGCATGGAAAGTGGCGAGACCTTCGCCAGGCCCGTGGGAATTTGGCCCTTGCGGCCGGCCCACCTACGTAGGTACAAGTCGTTTTCCCATGGGCGAATGCGCAGTTAGGATTTCCCAACCCGGCAATGTCTGGGGGCCGGAACTCAAACGTTCTGGGCGACGTAAGGCACCACAGCGCCACGCACTCAACCGGCCACAAAGTAAATAAGTTATGGTCGTGGGGAGCTTAGGGTTGGGTGCAATGATGCACGGGAGCCGACGAAAAAGCATGTGCGTTCGGAGATAACTACGGTGGGGGGGGAGAAGGGGGAAACAAAAAAGCAAACATAGCAGCTGACGCCTCTGCCGCAGGGTTTCGATGCAGGTGTGATTGGCGCGCACGCTGGACAGAGTGATCAGACTTGCACGCAGCTCGTCGTTGACTGGCCGAGAGGGAAGAACAGCCGAGAAGGTTCTCTTTTCACCCTCTTTGCTTGTGGTGAGGCCGGGCCAGCTAGCTAGCTAGCCTCGCCCTGTCCTGTCGCTTTGTTTCTGACACATTCCGTGAAGAAACCCGCGACGTCAGTGAGCGCAAGGAGTTCGTCAGCACCCCGACGACCGTCTCCAGTCCAAGCAGCGTGTGCTCTTTCCACGTGCGGCTCTCTTGTCGCCTGCGCCCGACGGCCAGACCGAGGAAAACCGCACAGAGGAGAAACGGCGTGAAAGGGATGAAGTTCGACGTCGATTGTGCGGCAGCCAATGGATTAGCACCAGCGGGCCAATGGAGCCAATCCTCCGGTTCGAGCCCAGATCGGACGAGGTAAGTCGACATACGCTAGCCCGAAGTGGCATGACAAGTGCCAGGGTGTCTCCACAGCCGGTGCTGCTGCACTGGGTCGTCGGGGTTTAGGCTTTGGGTCTCAAGTCATTTCAAAAGACCGTGACGGGACCGAACGCGTAACCAGGACACGTTATATTTCAGTACAGGAGGAGTGAATGCTACGGTAGTATATCAACCCGAGTCCTTCATCCTTGGTATGACGTCTTCTTGGGGGTTGAAACTGGTGGAAGTGCTCGAGTTTCCTTGTGGTGCTCGCTACCGGTTTCTCGCCTGCCCGTTGAACTGGTGCCGCTTACCCAAATCCGAGGATCATGTGGAGGCTTGGGGGGGGAGACCGACCCACCATTTTGCCACCCGAACGCCCAGGCAGACACGTCGCTCGACGACCAATGCACTCACCTCTCGAGCCCAAACTTGCACGCTTCATGGCTGAATGACGGCACCGGTCTTTCTCAAGCTGCTTTTGCATATTCTATTGTGCTCAGGGCACGTGCCGGAATCATCTGCGCGGGTTTAATTAGAAAAAAGTCGATGTTGTGTTCGGCGTGAGGCTGAAGATTAGATAAGCTTTATTAGTCATCCAGGCATGGAGGGTGAGGGGGGGAGCAGGGAAGCGAGAGCTGGAGCACCTTGAAACGCAGGGGTTGCCGGATTCCCGTGTACCAGCCAGTCAGCGCCCGCGTTTTCACGGCGAGGATGGAGTCAACTGGACAAAGAGCAGAAAAAGAACCCTCGTCTTCCTGGCCGATACATACCGGTCCGCGAGGGAGGATTTAAAAATAGATGAACAGAGAAGCCGACTCCCCCCTCAGAACACAGCTTCCGCATGTTGCAAGTTCTGTCTCAAGCTGGACTCAGTGGTTACCATACCTCGTACCAGCACTGGCCTCCGATGGCTCTTAGCCTTTTACAGCTATAAGCTTAGCTTTAGCTCGGCCATAACCACGATAAGCTCAGATATCAATCTTCCAATTGGTGGCACTCGCCATTAAGCTACTTTTAGGGCACTCTCGCTGTCGCCCGCGTCAAAAGCAGAGGCGGCAATCAAGTATGACATGTGATGGTCGAGCAGAATTCTGCACAGACAGCAAGCAGTCTATAAATAGGTTTCACAATTTGTCTTGTTCAGAGCACGGCATTGGCCGGGAACGTCCTTCAGAAAACCCACCATACCTATGCAACGAGGGCAAGGGAGATTATCCTCCTTGCTTCCTGTGCGCCCGAGAATATCTAGTGTATATTTGGTGGACTCATTTTGGATATGAGGATTGAGCTGGGATGAGGATCAGATGGGTCACGATCAAGACAGGTGTTCGCCAGGAATGCACCGTTGGCATGGTGAGCAGGGCGCAGGTATCTGTGTATGTCTTGTGCTGTTAAAAGCGGCGATGGATCCCTATTGTTAACTCTTGTTCAATGGTGACTACCCAGCTCATCTGCTCTGCTCGGTCGACATACTTAGGCAAGTTCTGAGAGCTCGATTTTGTGCCGTGTACGTATAGAGAAACCCGCGAGGCAAGGTGGATGTGGAACGAATGAGAGAAGAGTCGAACGCCAGGGCGGTAAAAGCAGCGTCATCCACGTGAGCGGCTTTGTGACAGCCTCGCATGAAATTCACTCTCCGCATTCTTGCCGTGTTGCAACACCCCAATCTCGACCACTCCACGCGACCAGTATCCTGATGATTTGATGGGCTCGTCTATGACTGGCAGTAGAGGCTACAGATAGGTTTGGACCTTGCATCAAAGCTAGGAGTCATGACGACTGCAACGCAAACCCCTCCGAGCGCGACGTACGTCTTCTGCCAAACATCCCACCACACCTGTCACTTTCTGCTCCACCCGACTCTCCCTCCTCTGTTACCGACTGTTTGACTGACCCTTCTCCTTCTCTTTTCTCAGGGTGTACGTCAAGAATCTCGAAGAGCGCATCAAGGTCGAGCAGATGAAGGCTGCCCTCACCGAGATCTTCTCCGAGTACGGGAACATCATCGACCTGGTCGCCAAGTCGAACCTCAAAGCGAAAGGCCAGGCCTTTGTGGTCTTCGACGACCCGGACTCGGCGGCCAAGGCCATCGAGGAGATCAACGGATTCGAGCTGTTCGACAAGCCCATGCAGCTGGACTTTGCGCGCACGCGGTCCGACGCCACCGTGCTGAAAGAAGACGGCGAACAAGGGCTTGAGAAGTGGAAGAGGACCAGACTCGCCGAGAAGGAGAGGCGGCAAGCCCTGGAGGCGACGCAGCAGAAGGCGCTCAAGAGGCCCGCCGCGGCTGCGGCCGCTGAGCCTGCCGCGGCAGGAGGAGGGTTGACGGCGCGGCCTGCGAAGACGGCCAAGGGCGCCGGCCTCAAGGCTTCGGGCACCAATGCCGCGGCCATCATTCCCGACGAATACCTGCCTCCCAACAAGATCCTGTTTTTGCGGGATCTGCCAGATAGCTACGACGCAGACGGTCTGAGCCGAATATTCAGCCGCTTTGAAGGGTTCAAGGAGGTCCGGATGGTGCCCGGCCGGAAGGGTATTGCGTTTGTGGAGTACGAGGCCGAGGCCGGCGCGATCAGTGCAAAGGAGGCGACGGCGGGTATGCAGCTGGGTGACGAAGGCAAGGGAATCAGGGTCACGTATCAACGAGCTTGAGGGACGGGTGTTGGAAGGGGGCAGGGAAAACGTTATGATATGGTTCAGGCAACTGCGCTGCTGCCAGCTATTGTACTTGATACCCATGCATGGATTGGCCGGCGTTGAGGATAAAAGCATACAACATCCCACAGGGCCTTCTCACACCCTGTTGTCAAATCAGAAAATGACATCCTCATCCTCATGCTCGCCCAGCACATCCTGCGGCTGGGCACCATCTTCCTGTTCTGGTTTGCCCTTTTCTGCTTCCCTCTTTCGCTTCATGTCGGCGTCTGCGGCGGCTTGATCGCGTTGTTTCTTTCCCGACACCTTCTTCAGTCTGTAGAATTCTTCTCGGTCAAGCTCGTCAAGCTCGGAGTTGATATCTGGATAGGGAGGGTGTCAGTTGCTTGGAGACAAGGTGAGGCCCCAGTAAACTTACATTTTATAGTGTTCTCAGTTCGAGGGATGATGACATGTTCAATGGCGTTGACTGCGTATACGGTGAGCTTCTGGTTGGCCTCTGATATATCCAACAGACGTACCTCTTCGGTTCACAACCTTGATGACCTCATCCAGAATCATGAATGCCGTCTGCAAGCTCGCAAGCTCAACCAGTGTCTCGACCGCTCGGGTGTAGGTCTCTCGACACCTCTGCACCTGCTGGCCTCCCTTGCCCAACCCCGTCAAGCCGAAATCATTGATCTCGTCCTTTGTGTACCCTTCAAACTGGGGCAGAAACACACCCGACACGTTCTCTTGCCTAGTCTTGATCCTGAACCGGGCTGTCTTGACTGACTCTTGGATCTGGTAGCCAATGTCCCCGCCGACTGCGTATGATACCTCAGCAAGCGAGAACGCAGCAATCTGCATGACTCGTCCCATTTTCCGTTTCGCCTCGTCGATTCTCTTCAGGATTTCTGTGGCATTTTAGCTTCGAGGAGTCGGAGAAGGGGTTAGCTGTTGTGCAGACCTCGAAACCGCCTGTGCGAAGATTAGTATGTGACGATGCCAGTCAAGGAGGAACGTGGTTTACTTTGTCAAAGCCTCGCTTTTCCTCTTCAGCAAGCTGTGGCCGGTCTGAGCGCCCTTCAACTTCGCATTCATTTGACCCAACGCCTGCCGCGTGGGGAAGACGGCCTCTCTCTGGAGGAAGCAGTCAGTAACAGTATCATCTTTGCTTCCCGTCCCAGTGGTCTCACCCCTGCGCCAGAAGACATCTTGTCCACGGGTTACGTTTCGTCCTGTCTTATGTCGAGCAACCAAAAAGGTACTGAATGCGAATTAGAGCAGCGAAGATCAATGCGGCGGCAGCTTATCACCTGGCGAAGCTGCAAGGCTCGGGGAGGCATGACGATGCCAAGCAGGCATCGCTAAAACTTTAGCCCGCCGATAGAGAAGACCATGTTGCTGTATTATTATGCCCAACCGCAGAATTTATATCTTACAGAATACTTTGAAGAATTCGAGCGATATAGGTTCTACTACTAACTGAGACGAGAAAGGTGCATCAGCAAATTTGCATGCTTAACACCGAACAGGACCAAGGCTGGAGTTCCAGAAGACAGCCAGCTTGACACATTGGAAGCATTTCTGAGTAATTCGATGAGCATGAAACAGCCTCAGCTAAGTCATAGCATTGCATCAGAATATTGGAGAATATACCTTGGCTCAAACAATTTGATACAATTTGATGCGCCCAAATTGCGTCGCATGTCTGACGCAAGGGTCGGGCGGCCATGGTAGCAGGATATCGGCTTGTTCTGTCCACGAGGAATTGGAGAGAGCCGGGACGGGAAATAATTGACGACATGTAGTGTTTTTGTTGTAGATGCCACAGGTGTATTTGGTTTGGCCAGAGGAGGTTGTCAATAGACGCAAGGGGCTCTGCACCCTCCCGGTGTAGCTGGAGCCAGTATACACGCTCTGCAGCACATGGTATAGATGAATGCGACCTGTCCGACCCTCCCACTTCATGGCTCCAGGACAGCCCAAAGGCCTTCGTGTGCGATCTTTAGGCTTACCTTCCTATGGTCTCAGCCTCGAAAGATTTGTCGAAGTTCGGAAGATTGCTCGCGGCCACGAATGCCAGTCAAGTGCCAATGGGAGACTCTCCGCATCCACACCGGCTCCAGGGATGTATCTACTGAGGCTCAGTGCCATCTTCTCGGGAACAAATACATTTCATTTGATAGCTTGGAGTGGGTCTTTGCAACTGTTCCAAATTTGCGCCTCCCATTGTTCAGAGTAAAGGACTGTAACGGTTAGTGAACCTCAAGTAACTAGCTAATACGTTAAGTAGCTGACTTCCACAGATGCCAAGCCGGAGCCGTCGAAACTTTCATCCGGTTGCTTCGGCTGCCTGCATCTAGATTTAGCGAAATCGCGAGAGAACTTCTTCAGCACGAACCACCGTCATGCCTGGCATTGTCCGCCAGTCGCATAACAACTCGACGGTCGCCATGAAATCTCTCAAACCCGATCTGTACCTTATCGCAAACGAAGATGCCATCTACGAACAGGACATCCTCCGAAATCCCGGAAGCGTTCGACCATGGCTCACTTACATCGACTTCAAGATGCGCAATGGCACGATCCACGAGCAGGCATTCATACAGGAGAGGGCATGCCTACAATTACCGCGATCATACAAGCTGTGGAAAATGTATCTGGAGTTCCGGATCAAACACCTGAAAAAGAAAAACCCGGTCAAATACAGGGCAGAGTTCAATAAAGTCAACTCCCTCTTTGAAAGAGCCCTCATTTTGTTGAACAAGATGCCTGTCATTTGGGAGATGTACCTGAGCTTCCTCTTGCGACAACCCTATGTCACCAAAACTCGAAGGACCTTTGACCGAGCACTCCGGGCTTTGCCAGCTACGCAACACAACAGAATTTGGAAGCTCTATAAATCCTTTGCCAATTCAGCCGGAGGAGAAACCGCAGTGAAGATATGGGCTCGCTATGTCCAAGTGCACCCAGAAGACATGGAAGACTATATCGAACTACTCATCGAAACCGGGCATTACCTGGAGGCAGTGAAAAGGTACACTCAGATATTGAACAACCCCAAGTTCAGGTCCAAGCACATCAAAAGCGAGTTCCAGCTGTGGAACGAGATGGTAGAACTCATGGTCAACAAGGCTCGAGAAATCGGTGATAGCTCGGTTTCTGGTTTCGACCCTGATACCATTATCCGAAGCGGCATAGAACGATTTGCCGACCAACGCGGAAAACTATGGGCAGGCCTTGCAACCTACTGGATCACCCGGGGAGATTTCGAGATGGCGAGAGATGTTTTCGAGGAGGGCATTACCACCGTGATGACAGTGCGCGATTTTACTATGATCTTTGACGCGTATGTCGAGTTCGAAGAATCTATATTGTCCACCCTGATGGACGCTGCTTCCGCCCGTGCAGCCAAAGGAATCGTCAACCCTGACAAGGACTTCGAGCTCGATATCAAAATGATGCGGTTTGAACATTTGATGGATCGCAGACCCTTTCTGGTCAACGACGTCTTGTTACGGCAGAACCCCAATAATGTGGTCGAGTGGGAGAAACGGGTTGCTCTATGGAACGACAACAAGCGAGAAATTGTCCAGACATACACAGATGCAATCGCAGCAGTCGCACCGAAAAAGGCGGTTGGCAAGTTCCACGAATTGTGGCTGAACTACGCCAAATTCTACGAAGAGGCTGGCGATTTGGACACAGCTCGAATCATTCTCGACAAGGCGGTCAAAGTACCATACAAATCCGTCGCCGAGCTTGCAGACACGTGGATTGGCTGGGCTGAGATGGAGTTGAGGAACGAGAATTTTGACGGCGCGATGAAAGTCATGGCTACAGCCACCAAAGCCCCGAAACGGAGCACGGTCGACTATTTCGATGAAACTCTCTCACCGCAGCAACGCGTGCACAAGTCCTGGAAAGTCTGGTCGTTCTATGTGGACCTTGTCGAATCGGTGGGCTCGCTGGATGACACCAGGGCAGTCTATGACCGCATCTTCGAACTACGGATCGCCACCCCACAAACTGTTGTCAATTATGCTAACCTTCTCGAAGAGCACGGCTATTTTGAAGAGTCCTTCAAAGTCTATGAGCGAGGACTGGACGTGTTTACCTATCCAGTTGCATTCGAGTTGTGGAACCTATACCTGACAAAAGCCGTCGACCGCAAGATTGGCATTGAGCGCCTTCGAGACTTGTTCGAACAAGCAGTCGAACAATGTCCTCCTCAATTCGCTAAACCGATCTACCTGATGTACGGGAGTCTAGAGGAAGAGCGAGGGTTGGCCCGTTCAGCGATGCGAATCTACGAACGCGCCACCCGCGCCGTGAGCGACGAAGACCGGCTATCGATGTTCGAGTTCTACATCACCAAATCGGCCACAAACTTCGGATTGACATCTACGCGCCCAATCTATGAACGCGCCATCGCCGCCCTGCCCGATAAGGAGGCAAAGGCAATGTGTCTCAAGTTTGCAGAGATGGAGCGTCGTCTGGGAGAAATCGATCGCGCAAGAGCCATATACGGTCACGCATCTCAGTTCGCAGATCCAAGAGTGGACAAAGGGTTCTGGGAGACGTGGGAGAAATTCGAGGTGGCTCATGGAAACGAAGATACGTTTAAAGAGATGCTTCGAATCAAGAGGTCGGTGGCCGCGCAGTTCAACACAGATGTGGCGTTTATCGCGAGTCAGGCAATTGCGAGAGGGCAAGCTGCTGCCGCGGCTGCTGGCGATGGTGAGGGCGCGGAAGCTGAGCGACGAAACGGGGAGGTGCAAGATGCCATGGCCGCATTGGAGAGACAGGCCAGGGCACCGGTCGGCTTTGTCGCGGCGAGCACAGGACCCGAAGGTGGGAATCGCGCGCCACCGCCGAAATCAGTTGATGGGATGGACGACAAGCCTGACCAGGGAGTGGCGGCAAACCCGGATGCCATCGACGTCGACATTGACGACGACTGATACTTCCACGGCCCCGAGGAGAACTTGGTTGTTTTTTTCTTTCTTTTCTTCACATGGGAAGCTGCGCGAGCTGCGACGAAACATGGACCATGAAACATGAGCGATTCTTTTGGTACTGGGAGGTTATTATTCATTTTGACAATGTGAACAATACTTTGAGCCTGAGGCTTGATCAGATTCGGGATACTTTAGCGGAGGGGAATAGGCGGAGGAGGCCATCTTTGAAGCATCAGCGACGTGTTCTTGGTCTAGTTTAGGGACGTCTCTTCTTCACTCCAGCCCGGTGTAGGCATCTCAATCTTGCGCTTGAGCAGCTCGCTCGCTCTCTCAGTTACCTAGTCAAGCAGGCCACAGCCCTTGACTCTGCGAATGATGCAGATTCGTCCTCGTCTGGCTCCAATGGCAAGGACAGTCGAAGATTTTAACTTGCCGCTTGTGAAAGACCACGAAGCTGTGCAAATAAATGTATGTCCGATTCAATCACTTTCGGCAATTGGAGAGTCTCAGGTTCCTGCTCCCCTTTTGTCTATCCGTCTATTCGCTATATGACTCTGCTGTCCTGACAGTCCATGCTGGTCGTGTCTCTATCGGGCATTCTGGTCGGATTGCTCCGGGCGTTGATACAGAGCCAAGGGGAAACATCATTTGCGTGGTGATCGAAATGCAGCCTCGCACGCCCCTATCTGGCGATATGCATGTACATTCCCCCCTCGTCTCGTTTGTTCGCCAGATTTCATTCCCTTTTCAAGCCTGTCCCATACCCTTCGCTCTGATCTCGATTGGAGCATTTACCCTCCTTTCACTTGGGATAGTTTTTCACGTGGAAACTCTTGACCTTGACAAACTGCTCGAATCCCAATTTGCTCAAGGTGACGCCCTTGCCACTATCCTTCCACCCCGTCCAGGCGAGATCCGGACTCGGGAAATCCGCTCGGTTCACAAACACGGTCCCGGCCTCGACCGACCCGCACAGCTCTTCGCCCCTTTGCGTGTCTTTCGTCCATATTGACGCCGTGAGTCCGAATTGTGAGTCGTTCATGAGTCCAATCGCCTCTTCGTCGCTGGAGACTTTCTGCAGGGGTATGACCGGGCCGAACGTCTCGTCGCGCATGACCGACATGCCGTGATTCACATTGGTGAGGAGGACGGGCGCCACCCAGTTGCCCTCCTTGGGGCCTGTCGGTGAGTTGAAGGTCTCATTGTGAGGCGTCTCATCCACAGCTCCAGCGGCAATGGCGTCAGCAACCTGCTTTTCGATTGTCTCCTTTGATCTTTTCGAGACCACAGGCCCGACGTGTGTAGTCTTTTCGAGGGGGTCACCTAGTTTGTATCCCTCGAGGACTTTCTTGACTTCCCCCAAGAACGAATCATAGATGTCGGCATGGACGTAGACACGTTCAATGGCGCAGCACGACTGTCCCGAATTGAAGATCGCCCCGTCCACGATTTCTTCTGCCGCCCAAGCAGCGTCGACATCCGGGCGAATATAGGCCGGATCCTTCCCGCCGAGTTCCAGTCCTACGGAACACGACACACGGGAGGCCGCAAGTGTCTGGATCGCTATCCCCGCGGCGACTGAACCGGTGAAGCAGATGTGGTTGACCTCGGGGGACAGAATCAATGGCTTGAGATCCGTAGGACTCCCGCAATGAAGGTACTGGATGACGTTCTGCGGCAGCCCGGCACCCTGAAAGATGTCGACGATGTGTTCCACAATTGTCGGCGTTTGAGGACTCGGCTTCAGGATCACGGCGCAGCCGGCCAACAGCGCCGGGATCAAACTGTTCACCAGGATCAGGTAGGGATAATTCCAGGCGAATATGACCAGCACGACGCCCACAGGCTCTTTCCTCGTGATGTACCGCTTGAAGCCTAATTCCTGTTCACCGGCAATCGTGGCGTCCCGCTCGAGAACATCGGGCGCCACTTTGTTCATATACTCCGCTCTCTTGACTGCCGTGGTGATTTCCTTTGCGGTGTACGAGATGGGCCGGCCCATCTGCTCGGTGAGTTCGCGAGCCAGGGCATCTTGTCTTTCCGATAGTGTCTCGAGGGCTTTTGATATGATCTGCTGCCGGGATTGGAGGGTAGGGTGGGATTTGCGGTAGGACTTGTACGCGCTTTGCGCGGTGGTTCCCAATCGCAGGATTTCCTCTGGTGACTGGCCGTGTCGGGTCAGAATTGGTTTGTTTGTCGTGGGCGAGATTGTGGTGATGATTTCGGCGACCATATTTGCACTTTGTTAGCAGGAATTTGTGGTGAATATAGCTGGTAGATGGAATGGTTCACATGTACGTAGACTGAGAAAATGTCCCGCCGCGGGGAAATGAGGCGAGGCTGAGAAACCGCCGAGCCTCAGCGTCCTGGCTGGCGGCAAGGCTGAGGAGTCAAAGCTTTAAAGAAATTCAATTTCTGATAGACGGTCTTTCCGACCGGTTGCAGCTACTGTCGAATAGCAGTGGACATTCTTTCCAACTGTTTGAGGTGCTGTCAGTACTGCACTGTGGTATGACAATGCCTATCTAACTATTGTGACTTCACGGCTCTCCAGCTTCTTGTGGATATTCGTATTGACATAGTCTCGCCTGCGGACCGAACCATCAATCTGTATGCAATGTTAGACCATTTCCGTGCATCCATGATCTCCTGATGACTTCAGGCTTGGTGCTAATCCATGTCTAAAGTTGCAGAGTCGAACAGCATGTCCGACATATTCAGGATTGCTATGCCTTGACAATTCAGTCCGCTTTTGTCATCCCCCAAGCCCAAGCCACATACTCATCAGCATCAATGATTTGATGATGCGGCGTCAGACAGCCGACCACCCATGCACCAGGACTGAGAACAGTGTCGTCTGCAACACCCGTCAAGAAGATCGTGTTGCAGCTAGGCATGTCGCAGTACTTAAGTGGACGACCAGGAGGTGGCAGGGGCATGTTGCTCGTGGACTCGACTTGCTGATCAAAACAAAAGGGCGTCAGACACTGAGCTTGAAGGCAATGGACTAGGACGGGAGACAAACTGCATCAATGACATTCTGGGTAAACAAGCGGGCCGCCGTCTCGATGGCAGCACGCACGGAGCGTCGAAAGTCTGGTCGAAGGACGGCCTGGCTGCGACTGATGGCATTGTGAACGGCGATGCGGATTTGGAACAGCTGGGAGATGTCGAGCAGATGCTGAATTTCTTTACTGTAGGCAAGCATGTCTTTGATGACGACGAGTTCGGCCACGGGGATGTGATGGGATCCAAGGGGTACAGACGCCATGATTTTGCCGTGACGGACGCGGGCGAGGCGAAGGAACTCTTCCTGACGCCTGTACAACGCATCCTCGAATCCATCATAGGTGTTCAGGTCGAACCAGTCCAAAAGCTCGTGTCTGAGCGTGTCGTTGCGCGGGGAAGCCCCGTCGGAGTCGTCGTCCATGATGCCCGAAATGGAGAGGAAGGCGTGGTTGAACCTGAAGCTATTGGGAGGAAAGAACCGGGCCTGTCGTGGCGGTGGTGAATGAAGAGTGAAAGAGACACCAAAGAAAGGCAAATAAATGAAGGTGAGCAGTGAATTTTCGTGGGTTGGTCTTGATGGAAGCGGTGGCCGCCGCCGCAACACCGCCTTGGCCCAGATGTCAGGTATTGGGGGAGACAAAGCGAAAGATCAGAGTGCACAGTGAATGAGGCCGGTTGGGTCGATCTGCCAATTGTCTAAAAGCGTCAGATTCTCACGCTTCACTCTCGTGTTCTTGTTGCGACGCAGTTTGTCGAGGGAAGGCATTGGTAGACGGTCAGCTGGTGACCAGACCCACGAGGCTGAGGCTGCGTCTAGGATTCCTGGCACAGCCTTGGACCATATACTCCCAGACCTGCATCACACTCGCCCTCTGAATCTGACGCCGACTGTGCCAAAATGACTTTCTTCCATGATATACCGCAGCGCGTCACCAATAACCCACAGTCGAGACTTGTACAAGTTGGTGAGACTGTTAGCCTGATGTAACGCCATAGCGAATCAGGCCCATAACACCCCCGAGCAGTATCGCCAACGGGACAGGGAGTCCAAACCAGCATCCGCCTACATAACTCGTCGCCGTTACGACCACCCACCAGGGATCTCGGCCCAGGCTGGAGCCGCTCGTGAACTCTTCGTCGACGTACCCAATTTCCCACAGCCTGTAGATGGCAGTGTAGATTAGCCCGACAGCGGCGGCGTTGACGCCACGTAGCCCGGCTTTGACCCATCGACGAGTACGAAGCGCCCTCCACAGTCCCATGGTGCCATGCACCAGTATCAAACCTGGCGCGAAGATGCCGACGAAGCCCAGAATGGCACCAGCTGCGCTAGGAATCGATGCATTGATCGCGGTCAGTGAGCCCAAGTAGACGGCAACTATACAAGATGTGTCAACAAAATATCTCTGTGCGCTTTATACGTATTCGGGAGGTTTGGGGACTTACAATTGAAGTTCGGTCCTGGGAACGTCTGTATAATGGCCAGTCCCAAGAGGAAATCACGGGACGATACCCATCCTTCTGTTACAATATACCTAGATTACACCAATACCGTCAGCTGTGTTTACAGGGTACACCCTTTGTCAAACTCACTGTCGAAGAAGTGGAATCACAACAGGGCCTCCGCCAAATATAATGGTGCCCGCAAGGTACATGTTGGAAAAGAGACTGAACAGCAGTGGTCGATGCTTTACCACTCCTCGCAGCACCATGACAATGACGAAGGTCAGGAAAAATCCCGCGATGAGAACGGCGCCAAATTTCCAAGAAACCTTCAGCTCCCTCCCCGTGGGGATGACTCTTGGATTTTCTCTACCGTTTGAGGCGCGTTGAACATCATCGGAAGTTGTAGGGAGGTCTGGGCCTTGGATATCTTGTCTTGGAGGCGGATTTCCATGGTTCGTCTCCTCGGCTTATGATTTGATGTCAGTCGATGCACTGAATTGGACGGTAGGGAACAACTCTGCTTGACTCACTGTGATCAGTTGTTGACCGGTCTGCGACATTTAGTTCGACTTCTTGGCTTTCGTGCCTCTGTCTCATCCTTCGCACAATCCCTGAGGCCTTCTTCATCAGCGGATGCAGCCATCGAAAGTCCCAAATGATCGTCACAGGGCCGGCTAAGAAGATTAGCACAGGAAAAAACCATAGTGCGTTGTACAGCATTCCCGCAGTGGCTCCCAAAAATACCAGAATCCTCGTGACCTGATCTGTTATGGCATTCTGGGATAACTGTACTGCGGCAAGTGCAATCACCCCCACGGTTGCAGCGTTGAGGCCAGAGAGGAGTGCATAGGCGGGTGCAGGAAGTGTGTCCCCAACACTGGATATACCAAGCGATAAGGCATACATTCCTATGGCGCCGGGAAGTCTGGGTAGCGTGTTAGTTCCAGTAACATACTTCCCCATTAGTTAGAAAGGGGGACTCACGACCACAGTAGGAAAGCTGAAAGTGCGGATATGAAACCATTGCGGTTGAGGTTGATACAATATAGCATCTTGGTGCTCGCAGGGCCTGAGAGCGCCTGAGTGACGGCAAACAGCTCTTGGAACATCGGTTCGTCCAGCCATTGATATTTCTCCACGAATCGCTTGTGCAGCTGCTTGCCAGAGCGCGGAGTCAAATCAACAGGACAAGGATAACAGGAGACCTGAGTCGACAGATATTACTTACAATCTGAAAATGAACAGGCGGGCCTCCGAAACATATCAACCCGAGGTGGCCGTTCTTCTGTAGTGTCTCCCGCATTCTCTGATGCCAATCCACCCACCCATCCAGCATGCGACGTTCGACGGAGCGTCGCACGCGCGTCAGAGCTTTGAGGGAGGAAGAGAACATGTTTTCAAGGTGACGAAACTCAGACAGAGCTGGTGGTGTTTCCCTGCAATGTTTCAATTGATGTTCAGTAGACCAAAAGGGTCATTTAGGCCAATGCGGGGCTCATCTTTGTGAAGGCTGGCAATCGAATCAACCGTCTTGGCTCAACAGCCTTGTGGTCCGATGCGGGAGGGAATCACAGAGATCTTCGCCTCGAGAATGTGAAATATTGCGCCATTGCTCAGGCACCAATAAATCATATTACACAGCAAATGTTATACAGCACTGCAACTCGATACTCCCGTGGATCGAGATTGCCCGGCAGCTGATGCCCCTCGTGGCTGAAGATGAGCACCTGGCCCTTGTTATTTGTTCCCGCTTGTTGCAGCTGCACCTAGTTTTCCTATGTCGCAATCAAGTCAATAAATATTGGCTCAACGACTGCCTACACGTTTCCCTAAGGGGGGCATAAAAGGCAGCTAAACGGGGATACGCTTCCCAAAGCCCCAAGGGTGCCTAGTGAGGCCGTTGAGACCTTGCGAGTTGCGGTGCATCAGCATATGCACTTCGGTTAGGGGTGCTGTGACAGAAGAACTTCGACACACAACATATGCGTCGAACACGCTCTACGGCCGATCCTGCAATCGGCTGAACATAGCTCGCTCCACCTTCTCGACGCCGGAGTACAATCTTCATTAACTTCGCAAGGCGCCACTCCTCCCACTCTTCTCTGAGAAGCGCATCTCAGAATTCCAATCGGTGATTCGGGAGAAGCTCGACATTCTATGCAGCAAGATCGACGGGTATGTCGCCAGTGGCCGTCCCCTCGCCATCAATCGAGCCCTGACTGCTTTTTCGGGCGATGTCATCACCACCTATGTCTTTGGCCAATCTTACCAACATCTGGAATCCCCAGATTTCAAGGAGACGTTCCGCGAGCCATTCATGGCGGCCTCCGAGTCGGGTCATGTGGCTCTGCAACTCAAGTGGCTGTACCCCTTGCCGAACTCTCTTCCAGACTGGCTTGTTCCTCGAATGTAACTGCAGATATTCCTCATCTTGTAGCTTGCCAATCTTAGCGTGGCGCAGACAGAGCAATGAATTGACAGCTAACACAGTCCCCATCCAGGACTTCGACGTCAAACTCAGGGCTATTTTATCGGGCACGGCAAAGGAGAATCCCGATCACTCCACGATCCCATACGAACTTGTTCGTAGCGACTTGCCTCCCCAGGAGAAGCAGATCGACTGTCCCAACGAAGAAGCCCAGCTCCTGGCCGCTGCTGGCCTGACCATCTCTTTGTGGGTCATGTCGGTGGCAGCATTCTACATCACGCGGACGCGCTGGATCTACGAGGAGCTTCGAGCAGAACTGATCACTGCGCTTCCTCGCAAGTCCGACGCTGGCACATTCAACTGGGGAGACGTCGAGAAACTGCCCTATCTGACCGCCTGTGCCTGTGAATGTCTCCGCCTCTCCTACGGCGTCACGTCACGCAGCCCCCGCCTCTGGGACCGGCCGCTTCCCTACCGAGGCCGGACCATCCCGCGCGGACGCCCGTCAGCCTGACCATCGTCGACCACCATCACAGCGAAGACGTCTTCCCGGACAGCCACGTGTTCTGGCCCGAGCGCTGGCTCGTCCGGGACGGCGAGCGGGGCCAGTGGCAGCCGGACAAGGGCATGGACCGCTGGTTTTTCCCGTCCGGCAAGGGCAGCCGGTCGTGCCTAGGGGGTGAACCTCGCCATGGAGGAGATCCATCTCGGTCTTGCGACGCTGTTTCGCCAGTACGACTTGGATCTGTTCGAGACCGACGTGTCGGACGTCAGGCTCGCGCACGACTTCTTCCCCCCCAGTGCTCGTCTGGACTCGAAGGGGATTCGGGTCACCGCGCGCGGAGTCGCGAGAAAGGAACCGGGAGAAGTGGCAGAGGTAGAACGAGGCACTTGGGCGTAGAGGACACGACGGCGAGGAGTATCGACGACTAATGTAGTAGAATAGGAAGAACCACGAGGAGGCAGATAGGTTGGAGGTCGGCGTATTTTGGGTTCGCCGATCATTTTAGGACTCGGCCGCTTCTACCCATTTGTCAGCCTTATACGCCCGCCCATCACCATCGAGGGCCATGTATAGACCTACGTACTCGGTGTGAGCGGGACTGTATTCCAGACTGCAGCAGGGCTATCCATTATATAGTCCAGAACTGGAGGGGTTTCTGTCCACCCAACCCGCAGATATACACATGATAAGTCTCGAGTTGCAACATACCAAGTGTCGTCACTGTCCATGAGCTTAAGTTCTTGAAACAACAACCTGGCCTGAAGATGAATTTCCCACCACCACCGTCATCGCCGTCGTCGTCGCCGTCCAGCATCGAACTCACGCAGACATTCCACCACTCCACGGCCCTCTACGCCTACCACATCCGCTGGACGGCCCTTGGAGACACGGCCTCGCCACCGGTCGTCTTCGTGCACGGCACGCCGTGGTCCTCGCGCGTGTGGCACGCCTACGCACAGTCGCTCGCGCGGTACTTCCACGTCTACCTGTTCGACAACCCCGGGTTCGGCGACAGTCCGCTCGGCGAGCCCCTCCCAGGCAAAGAAGGCGTCATCAGCCGCGAAGTCGCGCTGGACGCCGATCTGGCGCAGCAGTCGGAGGTGTTCGCCGCGCTCTACAAGTCCTGGGAGCCCGAGTGGCGGGGCGCCCGCAAGGCCCACGTGGTGGCGCATGACCATGGCGGTCTGATGGCTCTGAGAGCGCATCTGCTGCATGGTTGCGAGTACCGGAGTCTGTGCCTGATTGACGTCGTCGCGCTAGGGCCGTTCGGACAGCCCCTCTTCAAACTGGTGGCAGAGAACGAAGGGGTGTTTGCCGCATTGACCGGGCCGGTGTTTGAAGGCGTCGTCGAGGCGTACATCCGGGACGCGGCGCACCGTGACCTCGACAGGGAAACCATGGAAATGCTGAAGAGGCCCTGGATCGCGAGCGAGGAGGGGAGGAAGGGCTTCGTTAGGCAGATGGTCCAGGCCAACAGTCGCAGCACGGAGGAGGTCGAGGGCAGATATCACGAGGTTGGGAAGCAAATGCCAGTAAGGGTCATCTGGGGAAAGGAGGACAAGTGGATTCCCGTCGGGACAGCGGAGAGGTTGAAGGAGAAGCTGGATGCTAAGGACGTGGTGATCATAGAAGGAGCGGGTCATCTGGTAATGTATGATCAACCAGGGAGATTAGGGGTTGAATTGGGATGGTGGTTGGGTAATATGAACTAAAATATAGAAAGAGGTTGAAAGAGGTTCGATGGTGGATGATAGAGCAGCTCAGCGACGCTCATCGAGGCTCATCCATCACACACAGTATTTGCGTTCGCTCGCAATTTTGCCAGAGATATATATAAATGGAACCTGTTGCCCGGGGGGAAAGCAAGTAGCGTTGGAGCTTTTCATGGTATTTTCGTCCCCGTCATTTCCACTGGGGCAAAAGGAATTATGGTCGTGGTGTGAGGAAGTCTGCTCGTTGGGTCTGCCAATGCCAAACCTCCCATCGCTTGCTCCAGTTGCATCGTTCTCACGGCTGCCAGATCAGTCTTGCACATCTTTCTCACGGAGGATTCTTCCGCCAAATTCAGTTCGGCTATGTCCAGCGCTTGCTGCAAACAGAATATTGCGTTGTCGAGATTGCTTCTCATGACGTGCAAGCGTCCTAGGCACCGAAATGCCGCCAGCCGAGAGAAGATGAGGCTACTTTCCCGTAGCCTTGACTCGGCTGCGTCCATATACTGCGGCTGTAAGGCCTGGCCCGAGGTAAGCACGTCGTTCCGCCGTAGGGCGTCACCGAGAAGGCATTCCACCTTCACACCGGCGTCTCCAGACGCGAGCATCACTCTGGCCTGCTCGACGATGGCAGCAATTGCCACGGCTGAATTGGCCGAGTAGACCTCTTCCCAAGCCTGGACCAAACTTTCAAGCATCCGGACACTTTCAGGAATATCGCCTAATGCAGCTGTGAGTCGAGCCCAGTACCAAAGGTGCAGCATGGTCTGATATGAGTAAATACCAAACGCTCGGACGTGCTCCTCATGCGCCACTCTCTGTCCCTCCTTTCTTATTCTCGTCTTCTGTTCAACCGTCAAGGGCGTCCTCAAGAGAATAGATAGGGGGTGGCGCTCCCCGAGAATGTGGACAGCAAGTGGCGCTAGGTAGTTCTTCCACGATGACCGAAGTCTTCCAGCCACAGTATTTGAAGTATCCATGCTGATCTCGGTGAGATAAAAGCAGAGTTGTGGATGCTGGCTAAGTAACATGATTCTAGCAAGCGGCAACGTTCGATTCAGAACTTGGCTTGCACTCTCGGACTGTCCAGCGGAGATAAACCCTGCGGCTAACATAATGGAGACTGCCATAGCCTCACAGAGGCCATTTCCATCGAACTCGGCAGCATTCTGAAGCATGACCGTCTTCCAAATCCCACCTGCATTACCTTGGTGATAGTTGGAGATAGCCGCCAGCACTCGTTCAAAGTTTGACTGCTCTTTGGTGTCTCTAATGCCGGCTGTCGGTGCCTGACCAAGGCGCCATTGCATTTCATATTTCCGACCAGGGCGATGACTTGCCTTTGGATTTCTGGAGGCCGGTGCCATCGGCTGGGGCTTCCTTTTCTTTTTGGTGTTTGCAGGGGTCTTTGATGACTGGCCAGGATCCTCATCTTCATCATCCAGTCTTCTGTGTTTCCTTTTCCCTTGTTCGTTTTCGACCAATTCGTGTAACTGTGGTAGTGTATTGCCTTGTGCATTTCCTGGGCCCAGCGGCCGTGGCGCAAATGGGAGTGCAGCGAAAGTCTCAGGCAGTAGTGTTGAGGGACCTTGCTGGACCGATGATGCCTCTACAATCTCTGCTACACTGGCGACGAGGTTTCTTGCTAATTGGTCTGATTCAAGCGCAGCTGGTTCTTTTGAAAACTGCCCCAAATTGCCGGATATATCGAATTTGTTGTGCTGCGATAATATTTCATGCGTTGAGTAAACGTCAGCGACGCTAGTCATTCTCGCGGTATCTGTGGTAGATCTCGCGAGCGGCGGAGCAGGTCCAAGATAAAATGGATGTTCATGATGCCGCACTGGTGCTGGAAGCGTGACCATTCGTCGTAAAGCGCCACGTTCAAACCGAGGGCTTGATATCGACGTGGGGGGCTGATCATTCGAAGCCAGACTGCTCCAGCGGGTGCCACTAGTCCCTGTGCTGCTGCTACTCGTCAAACCCGATAAGCTTGGTAGCGGGGTATCATGTAGCCCGCGGGGGGCGGCTTGTCCCTCGGGCAAGTAACCTGGGCTTGAATGCCATTCATCTTGGGAGGAGTCCGCGCCTTTAGACATGAAGTAGGATGCCGTAATTGCCCAGGCGTGCTGACCAGAGTTTGGAAGAAGCTGAATCTCTGCCCTCCAGAATATATGTTCTCAACAACCCCACGAGCGTGAACTCGGCGCAGAATCCATTCGACGTGATTGCATGAATGCATCGAGCCTCGTGCAAAGCGAAAAGCATGTTGTTTGTCCAACGTCAAAAAGGGATATAACGGCCATATGCCGTCGAATCGTCAAACATCAGAGCATCGCTCGTGGGGATGTGCCATTGGCTGCTGACACACGTTGACTCAGCTAGTGCGCGAAAGACGAGCTGCTAGCATCATCAAGACAATGAGCTCGTTCACGAGAGCTCCTGAGTGGGCTCCAACCGCCATAAATGGGGTTGCAAGTTCGCTTTGATGTCAAACCCTTCCGTTCGGTCCTACGCATATCTGCATGCTTGTTCAGGATCCTTTGTATTAGGTATGCGCCCGATCACGAATTCGGCAGCTCGCCGAGCAGAAGACCACTGCTCATTTGTTCTCGTTGGCCAACGTTCTCCTTGATCAATGTCGAGTCTGAATTCGAGTTGGAGCTGCAGGTGCCAGGAAGAATCGCCTCCCAGTGCGACCCCAGCGTCGTGAGTCGTGACCAGAAACGGCCCTGATGCACATTTGACGTCCGTCTTTCACTGCGTGAACGCCCCGAATACTTGACACATACTTGAAGACTCCTGCGTCTCTTTGAGGAGGCAGGATACCGAACAATGTGGAAGAACTGCTCACGACCTCGTGTAGCAAGTCTTGCCCCCAGATCTCTTTTGTCTTGTCAGATTTTACCTGCTTCGGACATCGGCATTGGAGATAGGACTTAAACGCAGATCGTGCTAAGCATCTCAACTGAAGGAATCGCCTGCTTTGTTGAGGGTTCCAATCATGCCTTTCCACTGTCGATCATTGATTGCCGGACAAACAGATCTTGAGGCTTCAGTTGACTCTTTGTCGCTCAACGTCTTGGGCATCCATCCTCCAGGCCACTTTCTCTGCATAATCTGAATAAATCTTGCCTGCCACAGCTTGCTGTTCCACGCAATCCTCGCCTGATAAATTTAGGCCTTATTGGTGCTTGGGCCTCAAGTACTGATACAACAACACGAGCCTTCTCCAGCATTTCATTGCTGACTGGCTGAGGACATGCATTTCCTGCACAGGCCGTTGGGCCTTTGTTCCACGATGCCAATACGAGGTCTTTTGCTCCTGACGAAATGATGTTCGGGTCTGAGTCTGTGGGTGGGTCCAGACAGGGGAACCCAGACACGAGGACTTGTTCAGGATGGCGGACGTCGTCTTGCCTCTGAAGGTTTCTCAAGTTGGGCTACCGTTCGAAGCCCCAGAAACTTGTGATTGTGGTATGGTAAGTGCTGATCATCCTGAACGATGCTGATGATGAGTTACAATGGCCCGGTCCTCGCGTGAGTGGAGGCTTCCCGGCTTGCTCGAGGTCAATCGATCTTGGGATATTTTTTGGCATACTCTGTACTTTTTCAGACTGTGGTAGAGGGTCGATCTTCATGTCTAACGTACAATGGAGACAGGGAGCAAAACCGTCAGAACCAGAACATCGATAACAGGTCTCGAAGTTGGCAGAACTTGTGTGAAAACTGCTCATAGGCTCGGAGCAGCAGCGGCCTTGGCACGGTTTTCAGCCTTGCGCCTTGTTTGACGAGAAGATGGAAGTAATCATTATCACCCAAAGAATGAAGCTCTGACGCAGGATGAGTGCATTGTTTTCTTTCCTATCTATGGAGTAATTTCGTGTGGAAGACACTAGAGTCAGCGCTGACTTGCGCTATCCTCGTGCAATTTTTTCTCATTTGGCTGGTTGCTGCCTCCAGTTCTCTTCTCCTCGTCATAACTACATCAATCATGGCTTGCACTCTTCACTCTTCGACACCTTCGCGCAAGATCTGAGAGCATTTCCTGTCGTCACGGCTCGCCTTGCGGACTCCAAATATCTCAACGGACCATGTTCCCGCCCGAACGGCTGCAACATTGTGCTCTGCTCTGTATGGTTGGGGAAGTGTTTTTCCATCCTTGTCCACCAACGCGACGGTGGGGATGTGCTCGCTCTGGGGCGTATATGCGTTTTGACTTGTAGTCAATGCCGATCCAGGTCCTCGCTTTTCATGGCGCCATGTCATGTACCTCTGTACCTCAGCCCCTACCCTTTTCAATGCCCATGGCCATCGTCTTCCCCGTGTGGCTCTGGGGCGTCGAGTTTGATCAATGTATCAATCCTCATAATGGCGATGCAAGCCTCCACGGCACTCTTGAGCTGCTTCACCTTGCTCATGCTGGGCTCCAAGACACCCATCTTGACGACATCCACAACCTTACCACGCATCAGGTCCAAACCGTAATTCTTGTATTGTCGCTTTTTGGCAATGTCCTTTTCTCTCTCGTTGGCATCTCCGTCTTGGACTCTCTGGCTTAATGCGTGGCGCACACGTAGCTGAGCGACAAGTTCTGAGGCATCCTTTGCTGCGTTGACGGCTAGAGTTTTCGGGACGATCAAAAGGGATTGCGAAAATTCTCCAATTGCTAGCTGTTCCCGAGAGGAAACGGTCATGGCGAATTCTTCCAGGTAAATGTGTAATGCCGTCTCCACGGCGCCACCTCCAGGGACAATGCTGCCGGATTCTAGGGTCCGTTTGACCGCGGAGAGTGAATCGTGCACAGATCGTTCCATTTCGTCAAGTTGATAATCGTTTGATCCTCGAAGAATAATCGATGCCGACGAAAAAGCCTTTGTTCCTTTCACAAGAATGCATTCATCGTCCGAGATGCGTTCTTGAACCACCTCCTCGGCGTAGCCCAGAAGTTCTTTCTCGTATTTCTCGTCTCCATTCAAATCAGATAGCGTGCTGACGAGAGTTGCACCCGTCGCCTTCGCTATCCGCCTCAAGTCTTCTTTCTTACATCGCCGCACAGCCATGCAGCCACGTTCCACGAACAGCTTGAGGACCAGATCATCGATTCCTTTCGTGGTCAGTACCACATTTGCTCCTGCCTTCAGGATCATTTCCACTCGTTCGAGGACAATGCCAGCTTCTCGCTCGCGGATCTTTTCCAGTTGCTGGGGGTCTTCGACTGTGATCTGTACGCCAAGCTTCATTCGTTCCTTTTGTAGATTCATGTCGAGGCAAGCAATCTTTGCATCTGTGATTCTCGTCTTCATGGCTTGGGATGCGACAGTACAATTCAACGCATAGCCCTTGACGAGTATGGATTCTGTCGCGCTCTTGCCGTGTGCTTTGAGGATGTTGACTGCTTTGACCGGATACTTGACTTCGTTCTTTTGTGCATTGACCGACTTGACTGCCAACATGGCATCGACCACCATATTGCCGAAAAAGTCCGCATCTGCGCCAATTATCTTGCTTGACATTGACGTTTTGGCAATATTAACCAGGCTTTCTCTTCCAAGGGTTTCCACTTTTGTGCTGATATTTTCCTGCATGTATTTGACTGCTTCTCGCAGAGCCAGCCGGTACCCGGTGATGATGACCGTAGGATGTATGCGGTTCTTCATGAGATCGTTCGCCCGTCGAAGGAGTTCGGCAGCAAGCAGGACAACGGATGTAGTGCCGTCTCCCACCTCTTTGTCTTGCTGTTGAGCCAAATCGACCAGAATCTTCCCGGCGGGGTGCTCGACGTCGAGCAGACTGAGAATTGTTGCGCCATCATTGGTGACTGTGACGTCTCCGATGTCGTCCACCATCATTTTGTCCAAGCCGGAAGGGCCAAACGAGGATTTGACAACATTTGCAATTGCCTGCGTTGCGAGGACATTTTGGTCGCGAATGTCCTGGCCACTGATTTTTTGACCACCAAGAAACAATGTCCCACCGCTGCGCGGGCCCTCGAAGATGCCAGCCATCGCGAACAAAGTTACAGAAGAATGCGCCGGTAGATGAGGACACCAGATGTTTCTTACAGACTGACAAGAAAAATGTCCTGCAGAATCGCAGCCATCACTCCACGTATCAAGGCGGCGACTGCGGGCCACCATTCGATCTTGGCACGCAGCCACACCTTGCCGCTTTAGCCAGGGCGGCGCCCGCGTCTCCGCCTTCAACTTCGAAGTTGCCGTCCTACAGTAATCATGAGTAGCACTACCTCTCCCTTCTCAATTCCTGTGCCTTTCCACTATCTCTGTATCGACCGGTGTAATAGTTTGAACCTAAGCTCGGTAACCACGACTGGTGACCTTGCGGATCTCACTCCATGTCCACAAATGTGTGGTCGTGGTGCACCACCTCCCATTCAAGGGACCACATTCTCCAACAGATTTCAACTAGCAATGGTATACGCAGAGAACCCTAAACCTGAAGCCTTGAGGATGCATGAGGCAGTCCTGCACTCACGTGGGATATCATGCGTCTAAACATTACCCGGGAAAGACAGATGAAGAGTCGGATGACAAGCTTGTTGTGGCATTTCCCCTGATCATCGATTTCAATTGCATCCTCCTACAACCTTGCCAGTCGACTTGCATGCTCGCCCATGCTGTTAATGACACTGGTCGGCCTTGGATCAATAGCCAACCGGTTGATCGGATTCAATTCGCTGGCCCGGTAGAACAGATCCTCGTACACCTTTCCGTCATACCTGCCCAACGAGCTGTCCAGCGTCCAATCCGGCACCTTCCACGCATCGACCAAGCGCACCGCATGGGGTCGAAGATCCTGCAGAAGTCGAGGCACCGTCTCTCGCTGGGCACGCACCACTTGTGCCACGGTCAGTGCGGCAGAGGTGTAGAATTCGTGCGCGGCCTCGACGATCTTGGTCAGTGCGTACAGGCGGAACAGATTCCACAAAACCGGAAGAGTGTTGGTGTTATTAGTGCCAATAGTGGACGTCGTCTCGGGCGACTTTAGGCCCCGATACATGCTCGTTACTACGAGGAACTGGGAATGTGCCGTGCTCAGGCGCGGGTAATCGACTTGAAGAGCGCTGCTGGATTGGTGCTCGTGATCTCGGCGGCCAAGGATGTCGAATGTCAGATGTGCCGCTCGCCAGCCGAATGCCGCGACCATGTCATCATCACGGGTCAAATCATATGTCGCTGAATCGTTCTTCTTCTGACTTCTGACGAGGAAAGTCTCGAGGTTGTCCGACGAGATGTTGGACGCTATCGAGGCATGTTCTCCTGTCTGGAGAGATTTCGCAGTTTTCAGAAGCTAACAGTCGGATGGAGAGATTAGCAATGCGCTCTCCTTTTCCGCGCTCAGGGTGGTATGCGCGACAGACTCACATAGTTCGCGGTTTGCTGCATCAAGACGTAATTGTCGCCTTCGTACGTTTGTGAAGGGATCCAGTTCACGTGAATGCTGCCTATGCCGGCGAAGCTGGAGTATCCGTGACCTCCGCACGCGCGCCGGCATGCTTCGAGGCCCTCGACGGCTGCCGATGTTGCAAGTGCTTTCAGCCCGCACGATGTGGCGTGAGATTCTGCGAAGAGCCTCGAGGTCCGTGCGGTGATGGTGCTGGCATTCTTGGGGTCGACAAGCGCGGTCTTCAGCTCGTTGTAGAGTCGTGTCATAGCCTGGCCGGCGAAAACCAGCGCGAAGGACTCGGCTATTCGGGGAATCAGGCGGAACTGGACCATTGGGTGGTCGAGGACTTGCAAGTCGGAAGGGAGTGCGCTCGAGTTGGACGGACCGGGACTGGAACCCTGGCATCGAACAGCACAGTATCGAACGGCTATCGTCAATCCTCGAGCGAGGTTTCGCGCGGACTCGGAAACGAGTGCTGCGCGTAACCTTGTGATTGTGCTGTAGAACACGGCGGGTGAGTGGGCTGGGATATAGGTGCCTGTCTTGGGATCGACTCGTGAGAATCTGGGAGTAAGACTTAGCTCTATCTTGTGCCATGCCCAAATATGTGTTATTCTGTGGAGATCATACCTTGCGAGCATGTTAATATGTGGGACTTTGACATGATTCAATAGTAGGAACCCATTGTCCACGGTACTTTTGGTTTTCTCGTCAGTCGATGCGTATGCCAAAGACGTCGCAAAGCGAGTCGCCTACTTATAACCCAATTTTGGACCAATGTCGCCCACATACACCCCTTCGAGAGGTTTGTGGGTCCCGAGATCCCTGATCTGGCAGACGAACGGGTGCGGACCATAGCCTTCCCCGTCGATGATCAGCTGTGCCATAACGATGGCGTGGTTCGCGCAGACGCCCAGCGAGCCGGCCCACCATTTCGCCGCTGTCAGCGTCGGGGAATGCAGCGTGAAGGTCTGGTCGGCGGGGTTCCACGTCGCCGTCGTTTCCAGCCCGCGCACGTTGGAGCCGTGGGCCAGTTCGGTCTGGGCGTAGCAGCCGACAAACTCTCCTCGCTCAGCCCTGCTGACGAACAACGCCTGCTGCTCTGGCGTGCCTTGTTCGCGCAGAGTCGGCTACGTGCGAGGTAAGCGATGAGCAAGGAACCATCGCGCCATTTCACATGCTGGAGAGAGAGATTAACCCACCACAAACGCTTTCCAATGGATCGTGTAGGCCGTCGGCTCGCCGATCATCTCAAGAGCCCAGTACAGCTCGTTCTCGTCCCAGTTGTGAATCTGCAAGAGTTGATTGAGGCGTCGTGCCCGCGCCACTGACGTCTTGAGCCGTTCGTTGCGGCCGTCGAAGTAGTCCCCGCTCTTGTCGAAGGAGGGGTCTTTCGATAGGATGCTGAGCACGCGCTGTTGCACTGCAACGTCTTCTCGGGTGTACAGGAGCCGTGCCAGTCCGTCGACGTCGACCGTCGATTTCTGTCGTTCGAAGCTGAGGAAGTCCGGGTCGTTGGACTTGCACGACGATACGAGGGCCGAGACCCAGGAGGGTGCCTCGCTTGTTGCTCTTTCTGGCGACATGGTTCAGAAATTCGCTGGGAGGCAAGCAGATCGATTCACAGGAGCTTCGTCCCATATGTCAACGGGCAACAAGGAAGCTGTGTACCATTTCCACAATGCAGCTTATCCGTCTAGCCTAATGCATGTAACGACCACGAACTCTCGGTATGCATAGTAGTGAAACTGTCGAGGTGACGGAGCCATGACCCGTGGATTCGTGTCTCATTTCGGCTCCGTCGGTACCGCGCCAGTGGTGCATTTGAAATGAAGCCGGCCATATTTCTGCAATAGTAGTGAGATGGCCCGACGTGGGAGAAATGAGGTGCCCGAGGTGTTCATTGGTCTCCCCACACACACTTTTGTATTATTGCGTCGATTATGGGAGTTACAAAGTGAGTATGAAGGAGGGGCGACCGCCTTGGGGCAAAAAGTTATAGTGCTCGCTATCAGCCTAACTTGGCCTAGAGCGGCTCCACGCATAGCCACGACTACGTCTAAAACCATCGTAGATGGATGGATGATATTTGGCCCTATTCTGCGGCGTATTGACTATCAAGCACATACTTCAACTTAATTAAGTGGTAGCACTTTTCTCCCGGTAGTATCACACTTCCTCAGATAGAGGCCCCACTGAATCCCTTTCTCTTCTCTGCAGCCCAGTCACTTCGTTTGGACGATCGAACCGACTCCGCTTGTTCCATCGTAAAGCCTCGAGCCTCAACCGCGGGATTATATCTTAGCCCGTTCACCCGGCCAATCTCTGCGTCTGAAAGCTTAGCATTCACTTGTCCGTCTGCACGTCTTAAGATCGTGACAACGCAGGCGCCTCCCAACCCAGCGTTCTGTTGTAATGCCAGCTTTCCAGCAGGGACCGAGACCAATCTATTATTTGCCCAGCCTCGCAGTTGCCAGACAAGTTCAGCACATTGGGCTAGCCCCGTAGCGCCGAGCGGATGGCCTTTGGAGATTAGTCCACCCGAAGGATTTACGACTGCATAGGCAGTTCCGTAGGTGAGGGAGCCATTGCGAACATATTCGTGGGCTTTCCCCTTCGGGCTCAGGCCGATAGCGTCGATGACGAGCATTTCGTTTGTCGAAAAGCAATCATGAAGCTCGACCACTTTGACATCTTTGATATCAACACCCGCCTGGCCGAGCGCCTGCGAGGCGGTATGTTGCCCCAGCTCATAGCCCACGAGACTCATGGCGGAGTGTTGGTACAGCTCCGGACTATCCGTGGCCAGGCACTGGCCCAGAATCTGGACGGCTTGAGATTTGAGGTGCGGTCGGGCGTCGAGAAATGCTTGAGACACCACGACGGCAGCGGCGGAGCCATCGCTGGTCGGACAGCATTGCAGTTTTGTCAGAACCCCGTAGATCGCTGGCGACTTCAGAACCTGGTCTTTCGTGTAGTTGGTCTGAAACTGTGCGTATGGGTTCCGTTGAGAATGTTCGTGGTTGATCCTCGCAATTTCAGCAAAGTCTTCGGGAGCAGCGCCGAATTTCTTGATATACTCTTCCGCGGCATTTCCAAACATCTTTGCTGCGAACGGTGCCTTGGGAGTCGAGTTGCCTAAATGGTCAGACATGACTTTGGCCCTGTCGAGGGGATCTGTTCTGTCGCTGAAGTTGGAGCCTAGACTCCCAGTTGCCATCTTCTCGAACCCCACGGCCAGCACACAGTCTGCAGCGCCGTACCGCACAAAGTCTCGCGCCATGACCATTGCTGTCGAGCCCGACGCGCAGTTGTTGTTGACATTGTAAATAGGGATCTGCGTCATGCCGAACTGATAGAGCACCCGCTGTCCACAGGTACTGTCTCCATAGCAGTAGGACGCCACTCCCATCTGGACATCGTCGTATGTAATGTGTGCGTCCAGCAAGGCCTTCACTCCTGCCTCAAAACCCATGTCGGCATAATCATTTTTCGGTTGAGGTTTGACGAACTTCGTCATCCCAACTCCAAGTATGTAGACTGGATTGCCAGAAGCCATCATGGGATTTGTTGCTGCTAATTCGCTGCTACGTTGTGCCCTTTGTCTTGATGCTGGAGAATGTGCGACCATAAAATCGCACAGAGGTAGATCAGATAAGGCAATGGCCAAGCGCAACTCGATATACTTGCTCAAGTTTTGTTTGCCATCGTCGCTACTGCATCATGCTCCATATCACAAACTGGTATATCGTCGGAGCAGACCTGAAGCCCGGGTCCGACTAGCCTTGAGAGGCTTGGAGAGGAGGTTAGACTTGTGCCTTCAGAAGTCGGAACCGACTTGGAGATCACTACTCCATGGGGCCCATCCGTACCGTATCCTGTTCGTCGGGTGACCCTCATCGCTTCGATTTCGCGGGCGCAGGCTGTGCAGAAAATTCTACGATGCCTCCAATATATTCATACTGGCTATTGGGATCGTTTCGTTCGGCAAGGCGAAGGCCTGAGATACCAGCACCATTTTGCGAAGAGAATTACGACGCATGTATTCATGAGGAGAGCATTGCTTATGCGGGAAAGAATGCACATTGTCTGATATTTCCAACATTGCACCATCATCGCGGCGAAGCGGCGAGTAAAGGCAGCCTTTGACGCCAATGCCGTCTGATTCGAGTCCCTGTCAGACCATTGCATGTCCTGTACTATCTCTTCCTGACCGTTACAGTCGTGGCTGTAGTCTCAATGGTGTAGCCTGCTCTCTGTTGGCCCGATCTCGAAGCTCTCTCCGAAGTATCTTCCCAGACTTTGCAACATTAGTTGTCGGCACTCGGTCAGATAGTTGTTCTGATGGACAGACGTACCTGATTCTTGGGGATTGAAGGCAAGAAGATAACACCACCAGTAAGTCGCTTGAATTTGGACACTTTTGATGCGACAAAGTCGACCACCTCCTGTTCTGTGATGGCGCCGTCTTTTCGAGGCACCACATATGCACGTGGATCTTCATCCTCTGAGGCACTGTGAACATATCAGTTTGCTGATCTCCTTGGCTTTGAACCCTCTGGCGTACGTCTTGATACCGATCACGGCCGCATCTAGGATCTGCGGATGCTCAAGCAAAAGTGCTTCAAGTTCAGCGGGAGCCACCTGGGCTCCTCGGACTTTGATCAATTCCTGTGTTCAGTCATCAAATTGATGCCATTGAAGGACATACAGGGCATTGTACAGTACCTTTCGCCTGTCAACGATATACCACTTGCCATTTTCATCTCTGTATGCAATATCACCAGTCTTCAACCATTCGTCGCTGGTTTTTGTCTCCGCCGTCTCTTTGGGTTTACGCCAATAGCCTTTCATGACGTTTGGGCCGCGGATCCAGAGTTCGCCTGGAGCGTTCGCTCGGAGCTCTTCTGTGCCATCCTCCATGATCAGCTTGGCCGTTGCCCCCGGTACAAGCTCTCCCACCGAGATTGATGATGGGCCGTCGCTTTGGCTCTCGTTCCAGCATGTGCCAATACAAGGAAACCTAGTTTGCGTCAGTATATTTCCTGCAGACTTTGAAGATCCGTCTAGTCAGGTAGGTCTCTCACTCTGACATGCCCCACGCCTGGCGAACTCGCAGTCTTCCCGACCAGAGTTCCTCGAATTGCTTCGTTACTTCCATTCCAATGGGCGCCGCCCCAGCCACTACTTTCTTGACGCTGCTGAGGTTGTATTTGCCGTTGCGAGCTTCCGGGGCTTTTGCAATGGCAAGCAAGATGGTGGGGACCAATAGAAGCTCAGTGATCTTGAAGTGATCAATACATGAAAGCATATCGTGGAGGTTGTATCGCTGCATCGTGTAGGTTTGCAAGCGTGCTTTTACCGCGACAAAGACGAAGTAGACCAACCCGAGCCCATGGTACATGGGGAGCACACACAATGCTCTCCTTTCTTGTACACTCGGATCAGACAACTGAGTCATCATCAGCTGCGTAGCAGTTGTGACTAGATTGTGGTGGGTCACTTCGACACCCTTGGGAAGACCCGTCGTGCCAGACGAATAGATCAAGATGGCTGTGCGGCTCGCCATCTCTGCTGATGTGTATTCCTCCCATTTGAAAGCAGCCCCAACTTCAGAAGTCGTTATCAGAGCTTCCCAGTGCGGGACGGTGTCGTTCGCAGATTGCTCTTGCTGTCTTGATGCTGTGTCGAAGTGGGCAGATAATTCCTCGAAGAGATAAATGCGCGTGTTGTCGACCCCGGCAAACTTTGCAGCGTCTTTCGTCGTTGCCAGGCAATTTTCGGCTGCAAAGACGAATCTAGGCTCGCTGTCCCTCAACTGGTACGCCAATTCTCTTGCCGTTCCAGCTGGGTTGGCACTGTTGTAGATACCACCAGCCATCAAAGTCCCCAGCACCACAACGGGTGTCCAGAAGTTGTTCCCCGAAACCAGCATCAGACGATCTCCTTTCTGTACACCAGCTGCTGTCAAGCCGGCAGCAAACCGTTTCGACCATTCGCGCAACGTATTGAGAGAGAAGTAATGCGTCTCGGGTCGTCTCCAGTCGAGCAAGATCTTCTCAGTATCTGACAGTTTCTCTGTTGGCGACCCAAAGAGAAATGAAGGGATAGACACATGAGGTGGTGATAGTGGCCACCGGGACTCATACGGCATGTTGACCACACAGCTGAATTCTGCAATCGACGGAGTGTGAGCGTCTTGCAGATTCAGACGTTGTCGATATGGGGAGTCTGAGAGAAAAATAAATGCACTCGATACTGTCTGTCCGGCCTTTGCCGGATACCGCCGAGTATAATCCCCAAGGCAGATTGCGAGGTGGGAAGAGGCGATGAGGCTAGTGCTCAAATATAGCAACCTTCGTTCTGTAAATAGGGCGTCGTGGTGTTCAAAGTCAATAGCTTCATCATAGCCAGGTGGCGGGTCCGGGTGGTCCTTTGTATTCGTCGTCCATTAGCCTAAAATATCGGGAATCGGGAACCGCGTCGGATCCGTTGGCAACAAGAAATAGTCAAGTCATGGGTATTGGAAAAGACAAAAGGCTCGACGTCTAAAGAGAACCGGTGGCCCTCGAATCACCTGCGGATT